GGTTTACAAGTGGGTGAATGGACATAACAAAGGGGATATTAATAGGGTATTAAAGGTATCAACACAAGACAGAACACGAAACAATGGGTATAAATTGGATAAGTTTAGATTTAGGAAAGACTTGGGTAAATACTGGTTCAGTAACAGGGTTGTTGATTTGTGGAACCAATTGCCGCGTAACATTGTGGAGGTGGGGTCCCTCGATTGTTTCAAGCGCGGGTTGGACAAGTATATGAGTGGGATTGGGTGGTTGTAAATAGGAGCTGCCTTGTGTGGGCCAACAGGCCTTTTGCAGTTGCCTTTGTTCTTATGTTCTTATGTTCTTATACCCATTGTTTCGTGTTCTGTCTTGTGTTGATACTTTTAATACCCTATCAAGATCCCCCCTGTTACGTCCATTCACCCACTTGCAAACCTCTACCATGTCACCCCCAACTCTTCGCCTTTCCAGTGAATGCAACCTAAGCTTTGTTAATCTTTCCCCACATGAAAGATTTCCAATTTGGGGAACTAACTCAGCCATCCTACGCTGGACACGTTCAAGTGAATCCACATCCATTCTATAATACGGCGACCAAAACTGAACTGCATAATCCAAATGGGGCCCAACCAGAGCAAGATATAGCTCGAGAACCACACCAGGTGTCTTGTTACCAACGCTGCGATTAACAAATCCAAGTGTCCGATTTGCCTTATTACGAACATTTATGCATTGATCCTTTTGTTTTAAATTCTTACTAATCATAACTCCCAGATCCCTTTCGCAATCCGACTTCGCAATCTCAACACCATCTAGCTCGTATCTTGTAACTCTATCATCATTACCTAACCTCAGAACTTTACATTTATCAGCATTAAACTGCATCTGCCAATCCTTTGACCATTTCAAAACCCTATCTAGATCAACTTGAAGTGATAGTGAGTCCTCCTCCGAATTAATTTCCCTACCGATTTTCGTATCATCGGCAAATTTGCAAATGTTGCTACTCAAACCTGAATCTAAATCATTTATATATATTATAAACAACAGAGGTCCCAGGACAGAGCCTTGAGGCACTCCACTTACAACATTTTCCCACTCTGACTTGATTCCATTTATAAGAACATAAGAACATAAGAACAAAGGTAACTGCAGAAGGCCTATTGGCCCATACGAGGCAGCTCCTATTCTATAACCACCCAATCCCACTCATATACTTGTCCAACCCGCGCTTGAAACAATCGAGGGACACCACCTCCACCACGTTACGCGGCAATTGGTTCCACAAATCAACAACCCTGTTACTGAACCAGTATTTACCCAAGTCTTTCCTAAATCTAAACTTATCCAATTTATACCCATTGTTTCGTGTTCTGTCTTGTGTTGATATTTTTAATACCCTATTAATATCCCCCCTGTTATGTCCATTCATCCACTTATAAACCTCTATCATGTCACCCCTAACTCTTCGCCTTTCCAGTGAATGCAACTTAAGCTTTGTTAGTCTTTCTTCATATGAAAGATTTCTAATTTGGGGAATTAATTTGGGGAACTTCAAGTTGATCTAGATAGGGTTTTGAAATGGTCAAAGGATTGGCAGATGCAGTTTAATGCTGATAAATGTAAAGTTCTGAGGTTAGGTAATGATGATAGAGTTACAAGATACGAGCTAGATGGTGTTGTGATTGCGAAGTCGGATTGCGAAAGGGATCTGGGAGTTATGATTAGTAAGAATTTAAAACAAAAGGATCAATGCATAAATGTTCGTAATAAGGCAAATCGGACACTTGGATTTATTAATCGCAGCGTTAGTAACAAGACACCTGGTGTGGTTCTCAAGCTATATCTTGCTCTAGTTAGGCCCCATTTAGATTATGCAGTTCAGTTTTGGTCGCCATATTATAGAATGGATATAAATTCACTTGAACGTGTCCAGCGTAGGATGACTAAGTTAATTCCCCAAATTAGAAATCTTTCATATGAAGAAAGATTAACAAAGCTTAAGTTGCATTCTCTGGAAAGGCGAAGAGTTAGGGGTGACATGATAGAGGTTTACAAGTGGATGAATGGACATAACCGGGGGGATATTAATAGGGTATTAAAAGTATCAACACAGGACAGAACACGAAACAATGGATATAAATTGGATAAGTTTAGATTTAGGAAAGACTTGGGTAAATACTGGTTCAGTAACAGGGTTGTTGATTTGTGGAACCAATTGCCGCGTAACATTGTGGAGGTGGGGTCCCTCGATTGTTTCAAGCACGGGTTGGACAAGTATATGAGTGGGATTGGGTGGTTATAGAATAGGAGCTGCCTCGTATGGGCCAATAGGCCTTCTGCAGTTACCTTTGTTCTTATGTTCTTAACTTAGTGACACGTTCAAGTGATATATCCATTCTATAATACGGCGACCAAGACTGAACTGCATAATCTAAATGGGGCCTAACCAGAGCAAGATATAGCTTAAGAACCACACCAGGTGTCTTGTTACTAACGCTTCGATTAATAAATCCCAGTGTCCTATTCGCCTTATTACGAACATTCATGCATTGATCCTTTTGTTTAAATTCTTACTAATCATAACTCCCAGATCCCTTTCGCAATCCGACTTCGCAATCTCAACACCATCTAGCTCGTATCTTGTAACTCTATCATCATTACCTAGCCTCAGAACTAGGTAATGATGGAAGAAGGTATGGTGCACACAAAGATCATAGTTTTCAAGTATCCAACTTATTTGTAAGCTGAGATGAACAGACTGTTGGGTCAATGTCGGAAAAGATTACAACCTCTGAAGGCCTTGGCATGCTGTGGAAAGGGAGTGGGAGTCCCTGTGCTACGAATGATATACTTGAGTACTGTAAGATCTCTTATTGATTATGCTGCACCTATCATTTCTTGTTTTGGTAAAGATAGGATGGGCAAGTTGGAGAAGGTACAAAATGAAGCCATGAGAATTACCTTAGGATGCCCAAGAAATGCTATGATTGAGATAATGAGGATAGAGTTGAATCTGCAGAGTATTGGGAATAGAATTTCAGAGATAAATGTAGCCTCTGCCATTAGATTAATGAGAGGTGGGGGGAGCTAATGAATTAATCCTCTCAGTTCAAAAGGTGGGAAGTAATGAACAATGTATTTATGGGCTATTCATGCCTGTGCCACCTCTTGGGTGGTTTAATCTTTATCAATCAATGGAACAATGTATGATGAAGAAGAGAGCATATATGAATACCTTATGTTCTAATATTATAAAGTATGATGTTATTACAGAGTGTATTGCTGTGCCCAAGATAAAATTCACACCACCATGGGAGGATTGTAATGTAGATGTAGTAATTACTCACTTGAAAAAGAAAAAAAAGTATGTATGAAATAGGAGAGCTGAGAGCAACATATGATTGTATAATTAGAAAATTGCCTACAGAAAACACTCTACATGAATATTGTGATGGGTCAGTAGCTAGGGATGGGAAGGTAGGATGTGGAGTCTTGATCAGGGAGTACACTGACATGGGCAGTGTAGATACTGTTATTGGACGCCGCTTAACTGACAATGTCTCTTCAACGCAAGCTGAACTCCAAGGTGTATTAGCAGGATTACAGGAAGTAGTCAAATGTGGTAAAAATGCCTGCTTCTTTATTGACAGTAGAGGAGCATTAGAGTCTTTAAATAGCAGATGCCCAGTATACCAAAATATTGTGATAAGAGTGTAGAGAGAATGTTAAGAAATTAGAAAAAACTGGGTACAAAGTAAGATTCATGTGGATCCCTTCACATGTGGGAATACTGTTGAATGAGGTACAGTAGTTGATGAGATAGCGAAGAGAGCCACGGAAAAAAACTCTTGTTGAATGTTGTATGTCAGATAACCTTGAAACAAATAAAAACAAGAATCAAGATGATCCAAGAGGGTTAAGAAATGGTAAAGAGAATGGCAATGGTGGACAGTAGTAACACACTTAAGAATTATTCAATAATAAATACAAACTCGTCCTTCACCTATGGTAAAGGAAAGTCTACTTGGAAGGATTCAATTTACATGAGATTAAGATTAGGATACAAATATATCTGGCAATACGGTGTTGATGTCAGTGAAAAAGATAAGGAGTGTAAATTATGTAGTATGCCGCACGCCCACACTTTTGAACATTATGTATTAGAGTGTCAACTTATTGATAACTATAGAAATAAGGAAATAAGTAGTGTATCACATCAAATTGTTTGGATGTGTGATAATGGTATGATAGACAGTATACTTAGGAGCTACAAAAATTTTGCCCCAAGAGTGTAACAATTATATGCTGTGCTTACTATATTAACCAAAAATGTTAAATGTGATTCTTGTACTGTATTGTAATTTGTGTATTTGTATTCACTAAATTTGTGTGCCCCTTGAGGGACTTGAAGTAGAGGGGGGAGGGTAGAAATAGCCTAAGCTACTCTATCACTTTGAGATGTATTTTTTCTTGTCTCAAACACACTTGAACTTGAAGCCGCAACCGGACACAACACATGATGTACCCCCAGCCTAACCAACCAAGCATCAATGACCCAAGGGCCCCTCCGGAAAGTCGTCGCCTCGTTCTTCGCCAAAAAAGGAGACGGCTTCAATCGAAAAACTGACCACCAGGACGAAAAGAGCAGAAACCCCTGCGCCGGAAGAGAGCATGAAGCTCACCAACTTGATCCCCATAGGTCAAAAACAGAGCCTTGGAAAAACAATCTTGAACCGAAGGGGCCTTCGTCCACAACAACAAACCGAGGAGAGGAAAGATAGGAAAGCACCTTGTCCAAGGACCAGGACGGCTCAGGCGGCACATGAGCAGGCCGGAGGTGAAACAAAGCACAAGAAATCTTGCTAATCGGAGCCAAAGTGACATCCACCCCAAACTCAAGTTGAAGCGGCTCCGCCAGAGCCGCACGATAAGAGACAACAGTATTGGCATCAAATGATGGTCCTAAAAGAGCCAAGAAAGGACAATACAACCCGTTCGGAAATAGAAGACAACTTACGAAGAGACAAGAAGCACGGCGGTGGTGTATGATGTTTGCTTGTTTCTTTGGGTTGGAGGAGTTCTGCCTCTCCATTCAGTCTTCGGTTGCAATTTTCTTACCAAGTGGGGTCTTGTTTTGTTATGCCTACCTCTCTGGGTGCCTAACCCTGGTCGATGGCAGACATGGAATGGCCCCAAGTACAAGGGGATTTCCATAGGCCATTGCTCCCTTTGCCTCTCTGAGGGGGGCCAGGTTCTAGCTTGTGGTCCCAGTAGGCTGAACTCCAATTGACTGATGCCACAGACTATTATTGTGTATATCAGTCCGACAGCTCCAGGGTATCCAATTACTGTACCCTGAAGGAGGTGATCTGCATGCAATTACTATACACTGAAGGAGGTGACATGTATCCAATTACTATCTTCTTTAGATTATTGTTCATGTATCTAATTACTATCTTCTTAGATTAAGGACCTGCCCGAAACGCTGCGCGTACTAGTGGCTTTACAAGAATGTAATTACTATGCTAAGTATCCTCACAATCCCAATGTAACTTCTTGTATACATATATATATAAATAAATAAATATACCCTGAAGGAGGTACCTGTATCCGATTACCATAGCCTGGAGGAGGTACCTGTATCCAATTACTAAAACCTAGAGGAAGTGACGTGTATTCAATTACTATACCCTGGAGGAGGTACCTGTATCCGATTACTGTAGCCTGGAGGAAGAGGCCTGACCTAGACAACTACAGTATATTTGTTTCTGTGAAAATATTGCCCGAGGCTAGTCACACAGCACAAACAAACACTCGCCAGCCACACTGAAGCTGTGGACACCCTACATTTAAACTCGGGGCCAAATTTACTCCGTACTAAGACAACAGTTTTCCTGTTTGTTTACAGCTAGAATTTTCCACAACTACCCATCCCGGCCTCAATATATCACTCTTGTGAACATACAGCAGTCTCCCCGAACACCGTAACAGAAGCAAACGTTACCTCGCACCCCAAAAATGTATCGTGCTTCATAACTGAGCATACCTTTTAATGCTGTAGCATTATATTGGGCAAAAATTTACGGTGGCCAAACCCAGGCGAGAGAGACCTCACAGAAACAAACAACTCTCCGTAGCTTGCGTGTGTGCCAAGTCTCAACAATCTCAACATGTCATATGTTCAAGGAAGTTAAATGAAGATAATAGATATATTTATTTACATGGTGTTATTTAAAAAATTGATATTGCATTAAAAAAACTAACTTTTGTAAATAATGGTTACTGAGACACACTCCTACATATAGTAAGCTTGGCACCACAGGTTGATCTTAAATCAGCGTCTCGTAACAAATCCATTGTTAAAATATTTAATGATCAGAGTTTTATAAACTATTATTCATTTTTAGGATAAATAATATTTATATTTAAAGAAAACGGTTATACTTACATACCAAGATGCTTAAAATTTTACAAAATATATATTTTCGAGAAACCAGCGTTTAACATTATTTAATATATTTAACAAAGAAAAGCGTATATATTACAGATATATACATTTAAGCATATTTTAAGCGGTAATTAAGGGAAGGGAAGACCCTATCTCCCAGGTAAGTGAAGCGAGATTAGATATATGAGAGGAGTGAGTAGGAGGCCATCAATAGTGGCGGAGTGTCCCGGGCCGAGCCCATCACTACACACTACACACACCCTCGACCTTCATGTTGCTTCTCTACCTCCCTCCACACGGGTAAACCTCCCTCATAACTCACCAACCCTTCTCTACCCTGGTGCAGTTACGCTTGTCGACATTGCCCTAGAGAATCCTTTTATTTGATACTTCGCTTGGGTAATGTTCGGCTGTTTTGTATATTTTTTTTTTTTTTTTGTGGGGAGGGGGTTGGTTTTTGTGTGGGGCGTGGGTGGGGGGGTGTCTCCGTCAGTAGCTGTAGGGGACAGGTAGACAGGAATGGTCACTCCACACCCAGGAAGTGATGTAGTGGAGGCTGACTCCATACACACCATCAAGTGTAGATATAATAGAGCCCAATAGGCTCAGGGACCTGTAGACCAGTTGAGAGGCGGGACCAAAGAGCCAGAGCTCAACCCCTGCAAGCACAATTAGGTAATTACACTGAACACCCCACACACACACACCTTCATTCACAACTGTCTCCTGAACAAAACACTTCCATTCACCCCCATACAAAGTGAATATCAACCAGGAGAATATCACTATACAGTACAACAGTCTTCACCTATACAGTACACCTATATCTCGCTTCATGCAGGTCGGCATTCAATCTTCGACCGTCCAAGTGGTTGTGAACCATTCCTTTCCCTGTCCCATCCCAAATCCTTATCCTGATCCCTTCCCAGTACTGTGATATATAGTCATAATGGCTTGGCACTTTTTCCTGATAGTTCCTTCCAGTACCCTGCTTGTCTAACAGCAAGCACAAGACATCTCAAAGTGAAAACTAAATGAGATTTTTGAAAACATGTATTGACTAACCCATGACCCAAATGATGATTCTGCCCGAAACGCATTGCGTAATAGTGGCTTTAGGCATTGTATGTACTAGCTCTATCTATATATTGATCCATTAATGTAACATCACTTGTATGTATGTACCTTACCTGAATAAACATATATATTATATTATATTATTATATTATTTTATATTATTATTATTATATTTATTCTGATAAAGATTTAAAAAAAATTATTAATCATATTAAACTTATCCATTATGACCGAGCAAGGAAGACACTTGCAATGTAAACTACCCATACAGTATAATACAGTATGTAATATCTTTTATAAAACAAGCCTGTCCACTTTCTTACTGCTGAGTCAGCCCAGTGAATTGAGGGGGCTTTGGATTTATGAACTTGGTACACATGATCCAGGATTATTCCAGTTGCAAATTCGTTTTATTACAATTCTGATAGATTTTTAAGATATGTGGCACTGGTCCAAACTTGAATAAGATAATAGGCATTGTATTTTTTTTTTTCAGATAAATGCCAGACAGTATGTGGCATGAAGCAAGAAAGCAAGAGCGGAAGATACGTGGAATGCTAGTCGACTATAAACGGCGTGCTGAACGACGACGAGAATATTATGAGAAAATTGTTAGTACAGTACTGTATTGTTGTTGTACAAATTGTTTTTTAAAACTGTGGTTTCATTCTTGTATTTGACAATTATTTCATACTTATTACAGAAACAAGACCCTACTCAGTTTATCCAGCTCCATGGCCGCCCTGTCAAAATTCACCTGGATCCAGCTGTGGCCTACGCAGCTGAGGCTCCAGGCAGCATGTAAGTAGTCAGGAGTCACCAGCGAACATTTTTGTACTGAATTTTTATACAGATTTCACATTCATTTAATATGCAACTTGAGTTGTTTGTGTAGAATATTATACAATAAATGAGACATTTGAATATTTTGTAACTAAAATTGTATACAGTACAGGGATTTAGGCTTTAATTTTTTGCCTAATTGTGGTTACAATAATTTAAATCATAAATTACTGTTTCAGGATGCCATGGCGGGGTGATTCAGACTCCATGATAGATCGTTTTGATGTTAGGGCACATTTGGATGACCTTCCCCCATTGTCGGCATCATCACTAAAACTGACGGCAGAAGAAGATTGGGAAGAGCGTCAAGCAAATTACGAACGTTATCGTATATTGATACAAAATGACTTTCTGGGAAGTAAGTTTCTTTCTTGTTAATGCTTATTTCACAGATGTACATTGTTAACTAGCTCAAATAAAAGTAACAGACACATCAACAGCAGCTAACGAAAAGTATGATTTTTAAAATTGTGTGTGTACAGTAATAGATGAACAGTACAGTACTGTATTTGTAATGTCTTTGTTTTTTGTGTGTGTGTGTGTGTGTGTGTTAGAAAATGTTTGAAGCTCTTATTTTATGCATTCACACAATCTAATCAGAAAGGTCACTTTTCTAAAACTTTTTTTGCTTCTATTATTTAGTTAAAGAAGAGAAATTCCTGCACCAAATTCGCTTGGAAGAACAGTTTGGACCTATTGTTAATAAAACAATTGAAGAAGAAAAGAAAGCTTTAGCGCCCAAGAAAGCAGCCATTGCTTTCACTTACACAGAAGAACCAGATGATGACGATGATGAAAGGCCTGGCTCCTCCAACGCAGATTCTATTTTACCCGAGGGGGGAGATGAAGTCGCGGGGGAGGGTTCCGATGATGAAAGTGATAGTGATATTGACCTGGGTAAGTGGTATCCGAATCTTTTTGGCAATAGTGATCTGAGGTAAAGTTAGTATTAGTCTAGTTTTAACTTGCAAATTCATTATACTGTATATACAGTACAGTATTCTGTATATGTATATATTTATGGCAAGTAAGAAGTATAGTGACAGGAAAGATTTGAAGTATGGGAATTGAGACAGGATTGGGAGAAAATACCACTCCTAATTCTGACGTATAGAAATTAAAAATGGGTTTGTAATAATAGGGGCCATGTTCTGAAGAGTACAGTGGAAATTATTTCAGCTGCTGTATGTATGTGGGATGGGTGTAACAAGTGTCCGGACTGTATATATAATCTTTTGTGTTAGTCACAGTTGGAAAGGGCAAGGTTTTCTCCTACTAAAAATATAATAATAAAATTTGGGTTTTTCAAAAAAAAATTATCTGCCTCTTAACCCTCTGGAAGGGAAAAAGTGGATTTATTGGTGTCGTGACCAAAGGATTAGGAAGGCTATACTAAGATAATTTGGCATGTTTAACAAGTGGATGTTGGTTGACTGATGAAGAGAGTATATTAAAGTGAATTTAAGTGTAGACAATATAGGTCAGAAAGAAGGTGGATGGCGATGGTGAGTGACTTGCACACAGGATGTGGCTAGGAACAAGGCTCGGTGGAAACTGTGTATGTAAATATTATTTCTGCAACTCCCTTAGGGTCCTTTGTTTACTCGCTGTGAAAGCATTAATCATGTGCAACCCATCATAAACTTTATTGTGGAATCGAGCAATTCTTTCTACATGCAGATTTGACCGTGGATGTGATGTCTTTGTCCAATACTCAGCAACAAGAGATGAATGTGTCTGGAGTTGAGTACGGCCTAAATCAAGATGACTTCATGTCCCTCATTAGCCGAGATCTTCAAGAAGCAGAAGAACTGAGGGTGGCCAAGGAACATGAGGATGAAAAGGCAATGTACTCGGTGGGTATTATTTTAGTGAATGTGATACAGTAAACTATGTGATTCTATTAGTGATACCTTATGATTTTCACAGGATTTTTTCCCATGCAGTATCTGGAGAATACCTTTGTATATTTAAAATTTTAACTCGTAAATATGTTGGGTACAAGAATGTCCCTATTGTTATTAGGCTATGAAAAAAAATCTTGTCACATAATATAGAACAAATTTACACATCAATTTTACAGTCATCGAGCACACATACTACACCCCGAACTACACAGAAACTACCACTCCCTGGTACCACTACCAGTACCACTACCAAAACCAAAACTGGACAAACCATTGCCAGAACAGCACACCCTGGGTCTGGGTTGAGAGGGGGGGGGGAGAACTACCAAAGCCCTCCAAAAGTGACATGCAATATGGAAAACCATTCAAACTGTATTTGCAAACATAAAAGGCCTAAATTCAAAATATAAAAATTGTTAATAAATGGCCTCCTAGTAGTCAAACTCAATATTTGGAGCATCACAGAGTATTCACTTAAGTATCACAATTTAAGCAATTCAACTTAATGTTCAAGATTAATATACAAAGTGAGTCATTACACAAGAATTTGAGAACCATTACAGCCGTCTGCCCCAAGATAATCATCCAACATGTTAGTAAGCACGACTAAGTCACCTTAACATTCAACTCACCGAGGACTGAGCATAAGTTGGATAGATAGAGGGGGGGGGGTCTCTAGTTGATAGGCAGTCGCCCTCAGCCGGTCAACAGCCTGTCTCGGTGGCTGTCTGCTGCCCTCTGCTCTGCTCCTGCTATGCTGTATCCTATCCTCTCGAATCTAGAGTTCCCTGGGTATTTATTGGGAACCTAGTAGCTAACTCCGCCCACAAGTAGATAGCCCCAGGCCCTCTACCAAGCCACACCTTACGGCGGCTTGTTTGAAGGACATACCCGGCTATCAGGCTACAATTATCAGATTGGCAGATGCCAGGTCAGATCTCACAACCTGACCACGGGTCAGTTTGTTGTCATTAACGCCTCTAGGTGTGACTTTCTTAATGGTTACGGGCCGACAGACTGTTGTCTCTCAAAGGCTTGCCCAGTTAACTCTCTGTATATACACATTAAATACAAAACACTTTTACTGTGTTACAATCTCAAGATTGAGATTGTAACACCGTAAAGAGATTGTGTTGCAACCTCGAGAAGATACTCTTGGAGGGGGGGGATATGGGCGCGTGAGTGCATATAGTAACGATATTTTATTTATAAAAATAATATTAAAGAAGGTGTGCGAGTTATTTTCATAATGTCAGTAGAGTAGAGTATTAAGATATGCCAGATATAGGAAGTCAGTGACACCTTTTTTTAATTGACAGTTCTGAAATAATACTTTATAATTATGCTACTGAAAGTTTGATTTTTTTGTTTTCCAGGGTCGAAAATCTCGGAAAGAGAGACGGGCGTTAAAGAAAAAACATATGGACCGAAAATTCAGCCCACCAAGGTACAAAAAAGATGCACAATACAGTAGTGTGTTTCAGTTTTTATCAGTCTTTCAAATGCATATTTTCATAGTACAGCATTTTGCCATTCATTCAAGACCATTTCCTGAAATTTGGTGTTTTCTTGTTTCTTGCATCTTTATATTGCTGGTATGTTTGGGGGTTTGGCCTCTTTCTATAATGATTCCATGCTTGATCTCTGGCCCTCGCACAATTTCTGTTGAACCAACCCTGTTTCCTAGGTCTATATGTCTGTTTTGGAATGAATGTTTGTGTGCCTTCATCGTATATTTCGCAAAATTTGGCATACATCTCCTTTACTTCCCTGCCTAGCAACACGTCTGTCCAATTATACCCATGAAAAAATTTCTTAGTTCCCCATGGCGTCTTCTCTTGAAATAGAGTTTAACAACTGTTTCAATGACCCCATTCTCTACTAGATTATATCACATAGCATAATTAATGTTCAAGAGGACGTGATCACTCTTTCCCTAGGGAGGAAGGTACAGGATGTCAAATACCTCTTCTTTCCTGATGAATACTAGATCCAGTACTGACGGAACATCCCCTTCCCTCATTCTTGTGGCCTGCTTGACGTGTTGATACATGAATGTCTCCAAGATGAGTTTTAAAAATCTGCCTGTCCAAATGACCTCTGTTCTTGCCTTGTAGGCCTCCCAGTCTATTGCCTTAAAGTTGAAGTCCTGCATTACCAACAATCGGGATTTATCTTTGTCAGCTCTTACCATAATCTCTCATGACCATTATGAGGCCCTCTCATTTGACATCCAGTTCTTCCTTTGTTCATGTGTTGCTTGCTGGTGGGCTGTAGGCCTTTAAAATTATCGGCTTATCTTGATTCCAGATTCTTTACACCCCCCTCCTTTAATGATTTTGTTGCTTTATCTTTATGTACCATTTCACAAGCTTTCCAGTCCCTAACACTTTGTAGAAAAAAAGAATTCCTTTCTTCATTTCTATCCCCATTTAGACATTTTGCTTTAATGAAGTTCATTTTCAGCTTTTCTCTGTCCTCTTTTGAGAGGTCTTGTCTTATTGACCAAAGTTTACATTCTTGTCACATTGCAATTTCCTTGTATTCCGAAGCACTTCTGTCATATACTTCACTCCATTAAACGTCACCCTTAAGGGGCGGTTCTTGTCTCTCATATTTTCCTCTCCTCAAATCACTAACATAACAACGTGTGTGTGATACTGTTGTACTGTTAAAATGAGGAATTAGTTATGATAGACATTTAAAAATTTGTATTTCCTGATCTGAATAATTGTGATGCAGGTGATGTACATTTTGTTTATTTTAATTTCAGTTATGCTGCCCGAGCCAGCCCAACATATGCACCATATCGGAGGTCATCTTCACATTCTAAGTCCCGCTCACCGACTCCTCCTGCAGCTGGGACAATCAAATTTATTACAAGCTTTGGTGGCGAATCTGAAGGGGCAGGATCAGACGATGAAGGTGTCACTGGCGTCATCATCTTGCCAAAGGGCGATCGAGCAGTCCGCGATCGTCGTAAGAACCGCTGGGATCAGAAATCCCGCGAGAGTGGAGGAGGAAACCATCACCGCTCCGGAAGTTCGGGACCCAGCAGCAGCAGCCACACTGCCGCGTCCGGCCACTCTTCATCCTCTAAGAAACGGCGTCACTCACCTCGCAGCCGGTCGGTATCTCCCCCACCAGGTGGCTAACCCCCCTGGCGTGGCTCCCTCTTTTATCTCTTCAGCCATGTGTCCAGACATATAATCTGCCACCACTAGTTCTTGGCCAACTTGATCCTGTTTCACTTGGCCTCACCATAATTATTGGGCTGATGCTGCATGGGAAAGTTATTGAGTCATTTGATTGTGCTAAAAGAATAAATATAAGTGAAACCCAAATAGCAACAAGACCACTTACTCAACAAGAGTTTTACTAAGTGCTAAAGGTTACATTGTATTATTCATGTTGGTTGCTGGGTCAGTTGCATCAGACAGCCAGTCTGGTAACAGAAAATTTAAAGGTCAAAAACTAAAGTGAACACTTATAAGCAATGATGGGAAAAGATGTTGCATTAGTGGCGAGAACTCCAACAGCATAGTTTTTGGTAAGTAAGGGCAGGGAAGTCCTAATATCTAACTTCTTTACTATTTTTATCATTATAATTATAGATTTCAGATTTGCTTCATTAACTCATAATTGAAACCTTAATTTTTCTTCATACATCATCCATGGTAAAGGTTGCGTAGTTTAATTTGACTGGGATTGCCAGAATGCCTCTTATTGTTTATTAGGTTTTCATTACGAGTGTAATATCTTTCCGAGTACATTAGATAATCCAATCCTTTACTTTTCATCAGTTTTTTAAACTCTTACCATGAAATGTAATAACACTACATGCTATGGTATTCCATGTCTTGGTATAAAAATGGTTTGGCATCTTAACAAAGTTGGTACATGCAATGGTGGCCATTAGTATTTGCCATAATATGTATGGTATGATGTTCTCTGTTAACGATAATAATGCTTAATTTTGTATAGAAATGGTCTATTCTACAGCTGCTTACTGAAAGAATATTAATATTGGTGATTGGAACAGGTCTCGTTCTCGGAGTGGATCTAGCAGTCGATCTCGGCGGAGGCAGAGGTCACGCCATTCCCGGTCCAATTCTCGCCACTCCCGTTCCCACTCCCATACCAGGCATGCACGTTACACCAAGTCACGCAGCAAATCTCTGTCACGGTCAAGATCACGCGAAAGGTCAGTGGAACGCCTAAAAACAAAGTTTTGAATAATAATAATTGTGGTTTTAGTGGATAAATAATTTTGAAACAAGTCATGGTTGATATCCAGTTTTAGTTAAAAATTATCAACTCTTTCTTTATGATATAATAATTTAATTAACAAAAAATCCATGACATTTGTTAATGGTAATTACAGGTATTACAGTTGGAGACGAGGTAGAGGTTCTCATAGACGCTCACATAGTCGGTCAAAATCACAAAGCAGATCAAAGAGTGTTGACAAAAAGACTCCCTCCCCTCCTAAGGTATGTTTTGAACAGAAAGTAAGAGTTTGTACAATGAAGGTTTTGCATTTAAAGTTGAGAGTGAGAGGATTTAAAAGTAAATGAAGTCTTAGCCCTTGTGTGATGAACCAGTTTTGCTTTCAGTGCATACTTAATTAATAATTAATGTGATTAGATAATCATTGTCATTGGTAGAAGGCTACCAGGCCTTTGCTGCTTGTGGTGTTTTAGGTTTAACCTCTCTATAATAATTAGAGGTTATTTTGTCAAGGAATTATATGAATCGGTAGTTTTAAGGTTTGTACTTCCGTGAGGGGCTGCCGCGTAACAAATTCCCAAAGACAGCAGGTAGTTAAGTTATAGCTAGATTTGAATGAAAGTTTGAGTTATTAACATGCTTACTGAAGCAAACAAGCATTTGACATTAAATATACTTTGGATATTATGTGTAACTAATGAAGTTGTTTCCTTTTGTACTCGTATTTCAGACTGCTGTCAACCAGGCTATTGCTCTGGTTCAGCATGTTGGTGGTGTGGGATCACCAGATCCACCTGCAAAGCTCCCGTCACCTCCATGCCGTCGTTATTATGGTCGGCGGGGGCAAGGCAGTAATTCTGAGTCTGCCTCTGAATCAGAGTCAGAGGCCAAATCCACTAGTAGTGCTAACACTATGCAAAACTCGGCAAATACAAATATCAAAACAAACAATTTGTAAGTATAGTATTGTCTTTTTCGTACCGTTGTCAATGTAAAAATACAATGTAAATAGTGCATCTTCTTGAAAATGTGAAGAAAAACATAATAATGCAATTTATAATATAGCTCCACAGTTTATAAATATTGTAATTGTAGATAAAAGATATTAAGAAAAACAGGGTTGTAGTGCCCATCTGAATGTGCCTATGGATTAGTGACAAATACATAGTAACACCCATTGATCCATACACAAGATCATTGAATTGACTTATGAATTTTAAATTAACATTAGTATTCAGGATTGTTGTTGGGCCCACCCTGGTGATGGCCAAGGGAAATGACACAAGTCAAAGTTCAGGTAACCTTACGCTGAATTGCTGTATACACAAGTCCACTAGGGGCTGACCATAGCCAGTGCTCCTTGGTATTTTTGGTCAGAGTAACTGAATCTAAAACAACAACAACAACAACACGCTGTATTCAGCAGTGCAGATGAATATTACAAGAGATTTAATAATATTTTACTAAAATTTAGTAAAATATTTAGTAAACTTTTAGTAAACTATTTGTACAAATTTAGTAAATGTCAGTTGGCCAATATTTTACTTGTATCTGCAAACTGGTTACTCATCTCCTTCGTTATTTTTGTAATATGCATGCAGTGAGTCACAATAACGTGGCTGAAATATGTTGACCAATTCACATACAGTACTAGAAAATGAGGGGACCACGTTTCAGTCCGTCCTGGGCCATACTCATTCCCTCATCACAATCGACTTGAAACTGGTCCAGGACAGACCGAAATGTCGTCGTCCCTTCATTTTCTAGTGTGGATTGCTCGACTTAATTTGTGATAATTTTCATTGCAAAATCTGCCAATATAGGAGATGGGATACTATTCTCAACCTTCTCTTACCACTAAAGCATATCTAATTATTTTGTGTGTGTTTCAGGGTGCCCCCAACAACAGTGGGTAATGGGTCCTCTGCCGCCAAAGTCAGTAAGAACCTGTTATTGTTGTACATGTTATGTAATAGTCACTTTTCTGACTTTGATGCAACACATTAATTCTAATTTGATTTTGTTTCTTGGTTTAATCAAATGGCATAATTTTAGCTGTTTTGTATCAAACCTCATGAAAATTGCATAACTGTTTACTTCATATCATTCCTCTTTTACTATTGTGTTGAATTAAATGTAGTAGTAGTAGCAATATAATGTTGGCATGAGTTTAATGTTTTCATCTTTCAGGAAGAACATTTGAATAAAGGATTATTTTACTGTTGCTTTATATTAGCATTGGCAAATATGAATTATGTTCTCCATAGAAATTAATTCTGATGGAACAGAATTATAATTGTACAATTATCATTAGAGATGGGAAAGTATTTGCCTCGCAATATTTAACAAATTGCTCGTTGCAGTTCACTGGATGAGCTTGTTTTTGTCGGAATAATTCACATTTGTCGGCAAATAATTTCAGCCGGGTTAGAGCCCTAGGGAAAAGTGGGCTAATCGGGCACTGATCCTTAATTGCTTGCTCCTGTTTACCCAGCAGTAATTGGAGAACTGGTTGTAAACCAGTTCACAGGTCTCTAGGGAAAACTCTTTGGGCAAGGCTTAAGATGAGGTATGGAAAAAGGGAAAGCTCTTTAAGCGTGATAATAGGCATCAAGTCGTCTACTTTTTTAATCATCTGTGTAACAAAAAATAGTACTTGAATATCAGTATTGTATGAGCAATATTGTGTATATAAAATATATCTCTGAATTTATATAATCCGCTCATACTTCAGAGAATGCATTAATAGTTGTTCAAACACCTTGAGATGTCGGAAAATATTTAAATGTAGAATTGCATCGGTGTCGATAATTAAATAAAAAATTTGCATACTGGCCCATTGAATCTTGTTAGAGAAATAAATACATGCCTTGATCTTCATGGGCACTGCATGATTTAGGTAATCTACCTTGTACTTGTATACAGTACTGTATTCTACAGTATTTAGGATATATTATGATAGTTCTTATTAACTGTGTTTATATTCTATTTCTTCCTCCTCTTTTACATTTATCTTTCCATTCTCGCTAATAATGTGAACCCTTAAGTATTACAGTAGCTACTTTATTAAAAAAAAATACGAATTAAATAACCAGTAGCAAAAATGTGACCACCTTCCCATGAACATATGATTAATAGTATATAATTATATAAATTGGTATAATTAATGTTATTAATTACATGCACACACTGATTTAAAATTATATAAGGTCTGCAGTTGTGCACAGAAGTGAGATGCTATTAGAGAAGTTTAAATATCAGTACAAGTTTAAGAAGTACAAGAATAAATATCATTGTAATAGGGAGTGAGCTAGGGAATAGTGATCAGTTAAAGAAAACTATTATGGTACTAGATTCCCGTAAAGCAAATTGTGCGATTGAGAAGTTAATTGGGCTATTGGGCTAATTAATAGGCTATCCTTGGAATGTAATGGAAGTCCAGCAGTGGTTGACATGGCTGAATCTCAATGTTGCTTAAAATTACACATTTAAAAAAAATCAACATCATTTGCACACGGGTATTAAACAGATTCAACTTAAAAGTCCAGTATATGATGTACATTTATTAGGTAAAGTAACATTGACTCAAAACAGATTATAAAGGTATTAAATAATTAACTGTAGAAATACAGTGCTTATATACAAGAGAAGAAAAATTTTTGGATATGTCAAAAAAAAAAAAAAGAATCGAACTTTCAAAAATGGTTATAAAATAAATAAGGCAAAAACAAACTATAAAATGTTTATTGCCGGGCAGGCAAAACACAATAAAGGGTTCTTTCAGATACCGTGTATCAAACAAAGACTAGGGAGAAGACCAGTCATTTGAGAAAAAAAGACTAGTTATGGTGTTCTCAGAACATGGAGAGATTTCATTTAGCTAAGCAAGTTATCATCTTGAGATACTGGCTACACAGTTTTGTGCGTGTGTATTTATTGGTAAGCTTTTATAGCAGTTAGTTCAAGAACTGGACCACAACAGTCCCCCTAAGCTGAGCAGTTTACATCTGTGGTGAGCTAGTTTCATATAGTTTAATTTACTACTCCTAATCACTACGCTCATCCAGTGGGCAGCAGTGAAAAATTTGCAATCGTGTGCATGCAATACTCTAAAGTAAAAGTTGAATATTTGACAAATTTCTGGTGTTAGGACAAGATAATTTGCAAGGAGATTGCCGCTTTGGGACTAAGGTTGTTGAGGGCTTGGTAAAAAGGAGTGAGCTGGAGGGTGTGGTGCCAAGGCCTAGGGAAGCTAGGAGGATAGCAGGGGTCAGAAATGCAGCGTCAACAGCACAAATTGGTGTGAATTTTGCCGACTTGCAAAAGGGAATCAAATTTAGATTTTCTCCGAGCTCGAGTGGACCTGATATTCACGCAGAGCCCGGGGCTGAGTGCATGGGCATATTGTCAATTTCTTTCAAAATCTGCCACGCTCGTGTTGATATCAGTGGATATTTGCACGTTGCATCAAAGACAATAATTTTAGTTTTTGGGGTCTAAATGCAAAATGGATTATGTAAACACTTCAGAGTATATAAAGGGCAACTGTATATGTAAACAACCAGCTGGAGCAACTACTTTTAACTTCTGACATTCTGCTATCTCAATATCAGTATTGGTGGCTGCCACTGCTTCACTTAAATGATAGCAAACCAGTGTTGCATTCTTCAAACACAAATTACACTCTTGTGTTGTGTCAATTTTTAAGTGGCTCTGCATTTTCTGTCGTTAAGAAATTAATACAAGTATCGGTCAAGACATCCTTGAAAATGCGTGCTATAAAAATAAAATAAAATAAAATCTTTCAAAGAGCTAGTACAGTACAGTACATGTATATTTGCAAGCCTACCAGTAACTTTTTTTTAATAGATTTGCAACATAATTTTGATGTTTATAATGGTATCCTTTAAATATAAAAATATATGATGGACAGAAAAATTAAATGTAAAATAAGTGTCAGTGTGTTGAGAATTGGCCTAAATATTATGACGTTTGAAGGTCAGTGTCTGAAATGCATTAGAAAGCCTAAAATAGCCACATTGCATGAAATGTGGAAAATAAACACTTGGTTGATGCACATTTCAAAGAAACTTTGGCAAAATTGTTAGTACAATATTTTAGCTTTCAAACTCTGACACGAGTAGACTTTTTTTGTACTAGTTTTTATTAGTTGATTGTTTTTATCTTCCTGATCACATTTAATTGTATTTATCTTCCTGATCCATATATTTACTGGCGATTTGTGGTGGTTTCCAATGATGGTTAATAATAATAATGACATTTTGTACACGGTGCATCAACAGGTAAGATTGGTAGTGTCAGTACCAGTCGGCAGTGAGCAGTAACACTGAACACTTCTACCCATTCCTTACTCGATACTTCTTGTTGTTTTACTTTTCAGTTTTAATTTACAGTATTCTTCATGTTAAAAGTTCAAACTAAGCTCGTCTCTTTTTTCAGGATGGTCCCAAATTAACACCTCAGGAAAGGCTGAAAAGAAAAACCCAGGCACTCTTGAAGAAGCAGTGTGAGTATTTAGACTCTCAAGATGTATTATGTGCGTGTTGACTTGTAAAGTCAACAAAGTACTCGCCTAATTGTGCTTGCAGGGGTTGAGCTTCATCTCTTAGGTCCCACATCTTGACCATCAATCAACTGGTGTACACTTTCCTGAGCCTACTGAGCTCTTATCATATCTACATTTGAAACTGTGTATGGAGTCTGCCTCCACTAAATCATTACAGAGTGCATTCCATATGTTAGCTACTGACACTGAATAATTTTTTTCTGGATGTGTGCATGTGACTGTGTGAAAGTTCAATATACTGTGTGTATCTCATACCTAATAGCCAGAATTGCCTAATAAGCCAAATGTCCTTTAAATATTTACATTTTCAAAAACGTTGTATAGTATGTGTATATTGCTCTTTTAGTTTTAACCCCATGCCCTGGATTGATCCTTCACAAACACTATAATGCATCCACCTGCACCAATGCATATACACCACGAGCTTAGCTCTCGTCCTGTAACTACACTTAGGTAATTACACCTTTTCTATTTAGGTCTTCTAGTTTTTTTTAATTCTTTGACATATGCTGGTGGTGAAGTGGTACATGCATGTGCTTGTAAAGTGTGTGCATTCTAACTCATTTGGGTTTCCAACTCAACCTGTGCCCTTCATTACATTTCCTCATTTAAAAATGGTTTCCCTCATTCCTTTTATCAGTGTCCTCAATATTTTGTGTGTGCATATAGCGTATATAACAAATTATTCAGGTATGAATGCTGTGAACAATTGGAAGCTGCATAAGATTTTTTCCACCCTTATCAATTAACTATATGCATTACTTGCTTCATCATTTTAGTATTTATAGGATGCCATGCATTATATTTAAGTACAGTACAGGTATCATAATGTATATTAATAGAGGGAGTATGTGGCTATTTGTCCCTCTTCCTCTCTCCCAATATTCCTCCTCTCCCACCCTTCTTACCTAATATGGTCCCCCTATTCCCCTACCTCCCCCTGCCCCCTCTCTTCCTTTTGGACCAAGTTATCACAAGTTGAGCCTAGCCCCAGGTCAGACTCTTGGGAGAAGAACTTCAGAAACCCTCTGCAGGTAAGATCCCCAAACATCCCCTTCTCCTCTTCCCCCTCTCCTCTGTTGCCTTCTCCTCTTCCCCCTCTCCCGAACATCTCCTCTCCTTCCCCTTTTCTAAACATCACCTCCAGCCAAACCTCTTATGTTGAATTAATGATCATTTATACACCAATTTTCAGTCAAGGCGGATAAACGGCTTGAAAGAGAACGGGCAGAAAAAGCAGAACAGGAACGACAAGACAGAGAGGAAGAATTAAGGGAAATGGCCATCAGGTTAAGACGGAGGTGAGAATTTAGTTTGTGTTTGTTTATTGTCTCAATACATTGTACAGTGTGTGTGTGTGTGTGTGTACTCACCTAGTTGTACTCACCTAGTTGAGCTCTGGCTCTTTGGTCCCGCCTCTCAACTGTCAATCAACAGGTGTACAGGTTCCTGAGCCTATTGGGCTCTATCATATCTACACTTGAAACTGTGTATGGAGTCAGCCTCCACCACATCACTTCCTAATGCATTCCATTTGTCAACCACTCTGACACTAAAAAAGTTCTTTCTAATATCTCTGTGGCTCATTTGGGCACTCAGTTTCCACCTGTGTCCCCTAGTGCGTGTGCCCCTTGTGTTAAACAGCCTGTCTTTATCAACCCTGTCAATTCCCTTGAGGATCTTGAATGTGGTGATCATGTCCCCCCTAACTCTTCTGTCTTCCAACGAAGTGAGGTTTAATTCCCGTAGTCTCTCCTCGTAGCTCATACCTCTCAGCTCGGGTACTAGTCTGGTGGCAAACCTTTGAACCTTTTCCAGTTTAGTCTTATCCTTGACTAGATATGGACTCCATGCTGGTGCCGCATACTCCAGGATTGGTCTGACATATGTGGTATATAATGTTCTGAAAGATTCGTTACACAAGTTTCTAAAGGCCGTTCTTATGTTAGCCAACCTGGCATATGCTGCTGCTGTTATCCTCTTGATATGAGCATCAGGGGACAGGTCTGGCGTGATATCAACCCCCAGGTCTTTCTCTCTCTCGGACTCTTGAAGTATTTCATCTCCCAAGTGATACCTTGTATCTGGTCTCCTGCTTCCTACCCCTATCTTCATTACATTACATTTGCTTGGATTAAACTCTAACAGCCATTTGTTCGACCATTCCTGCAGCTTGTCCAGGTCTTCTTGAAGCCTCAAGCTGTCCTCCTCTGTCTTAATCCTTCTCAGAATTTTGGCGTCGTCAGCAAACATTGAGAGGAATGAGTCTATACCCTCTGGGAGATCATTTACGTATATCAGAAACAGGATAGGTCCAAGTACAGAGCCCTGTGGGACTCCACTGGTGACTTCACGCCAGTCTGAGGTCTCACCCCTCACTGTAACTCTCTGCTTCCTATTGTTTAGGTACTCCCTTATCCACTGGAGCGCCCTACCAGTTACTCCTGCCTGTTTCTCTAGCTTATGCATCAACCTTTTATGGGGTACTGTGTCAAAGGCTTTCCGACAGTCCAAAAAAATGCAGTCCGCCCACCCTTCTCTTTCTTGTTTAATCTTTGTCACCTGATCGTAGAATTCTATCAATCCTGTAAGGCAAGATTTACCCTCCCTGAACCCATGTTGATGGGTTGTCACGAAGTCTCTTCTCTCCAGATGTGTTACTAGGTTTTTTCTCACAATCTTTTCCATCACCTTGCATGGTATACAAGTTAAGGACACTGGCCTGTAGTTCAGTGCCTCTTGTCTGTCACCCTTTTTGTATATTGGTACTACATTAGCAGTCTTCCATATTTCTGGTAGGTCCCCCGTTTCCAGTGACCTACTATACACTATGGAGAGTGGTAGGCAAAGTGCTCCTGCACACTCTTTCAATACCCATGGCGAGATTCCATCCGGCCCGACAGCTTTTCTCACATCCAGCTCCAATAGGTGCTTCTTGACCTCATCTCTTGTAATTTCGAACCTATCCAAGTTCACCTGGTTTGCTGCCACCTCTTCTAGCACCGCGACATCTCCCTGTTCTATTGTAAAGACCTCCTGGAACCTTTTGAGTTCTTCACACACCTCTTTGTCATTCTCTGTGTACCTGTCCTCGCCCACCCTAAGTTTCATCACCTGTTCCTTCACTGTTGTCTTCCTCCTGATGTGACTGTGTAGTAGCTTGGGTTCGGTCTTGGCTTTATTAGCTATATCATTTTCATACCTTTTCTCAGCTGCTCTTCTCACACTGACACTGACGTGTGTGTGTGTGTGTAAGTGTATAAAGGGAGGGGGGGGGGGGTAGAAGATAGTATACAAGTGCAAGGGGCATAGGGAGCTTTATAAGGCTGCCCTGGGTGTGGTATATTTTTATCCAAGGCTAAGGGTTAACACAAATAATTATACACCTGTATGTGTGTATGTATAATATATATATATATATATATATATATATATAACTGAAAACTCACACCCCAGAAGTGACTCGAACCCATACTCCCAGAAGCAACGCATCTGGTATGTACAAGACGCCTTAATCCACTTGACCATCACGACCGGACATAATGAGGTGATAGCCGAGGCTATTTGAACCACCCCACCGCCGGCACTCGGATAGTTATCTTGGGCATAGCATTTTACCAAATCCTCATTCTTTGGGGCAACACGTGAGGAACACAAATGCGAACAAGCCTGAATGGTCCCCAGGACATATGCAACTGAAAACTCACACCCCAGAAGTGACTCGAACCCATACTCCCAGAAGCAACGCATCTGGTATGTACAAGACGCCTTAATCCACTTGACCATCACGACCGGACATAATGAGGTGATAGCCGAGGCTATTTGAACCACCCCACCGCCGGCACTCGGATAGTTATCTTGGGCATAGCATTTTACCAAATCACCTCATTCTTTGGGGCAACACGTGAGGAACACAAATGCGAACAAGCCTGAATGGTCCCCAGGACATATGCAACTGAAAACTCACACCCCAGAAGTGACTCGAACCCATACTCCCAGAAGCAACGCATCTGGTATGTACAAGACGCCTTAATCCACTTGAGTTTTCAGTTGCATATGTCCTGGGGACCATTCAGGCTTGTTCGCATTTGTGTTCCTCACGTGTTGCCCCAAAGAATGAGGTGATTTGGTAAAATGCTATGCCCAAGATAACTATCCGAGTGCCGGCGGTGGGGTGGTTCAAATAGCCTCGGCTATCACCTCATTATGTCCGGTCGTGATGGTCAAGTGGATTAAGGCGTCTTGTACATACCAGATGCGTTGCTTCTGGGAGTATGGGTTCGAGTCACTTCTGGGGTGTGAGTTTTCAGTTGCATATGTCCTGGGGACCATTCAGGCTTGTTCGCATTTGTGTTCCTCACGTGTTGCCCCAAAGAATGAGGTGATTTGGTAAAATGCTATGCCCAAGATAACTATCCGAGTGCCGGCGGTGGGGTGGTTCAAATAGCCTCGGCTATCACCTCATTATGTCCGGTCGTGATGGTCAAGTGGATTAAGGCGTCTTGTACATACCAGATGCGTTGCTTCTGGGAGTATGGGTTCGAGTCACTTCTGGGGTGTGAGTTTTCAGTTGCATATGTCCTGGGGACCATTCAGGCTTGTTCGCATTTGTGTTCCTCACGTGTTGCCCCAAAGAATGAGGTGATTTGGTAAAATGCTATGCCCAAGATAACTATCCGAGTGCCGGCGGTGGGGTGGTTCAAATAGCCTCGGCTATCACCTCATTATGTCCGGTCGTGATGGTCAAGTGGATTAAGGCGTCTTGTACATACCAGATGCGTTGCTTCTGGGAGTATGGGTTCGAGTCACTTCTGGGGTGTGAGTTTTCAGTTGCATATGTCCTGGGGACCATTCAGGCTTGTTCGCATTTGTGTTCCTCACGTGTTGCCCCAAAGAATGAGGTGATTTGGTAAAATGCTATGCCCAAGATAACTATCCGAGTGCCGGCGGTGGGGTGGTTCAAATAGCCTCGGCTATCACCTCATTATGTCCGGTCGTGATGGTCAAGTGGATTAAGGCGTCTTGTACATACCAGATGCGTTGCTTCTGGGAGTATGGGTTCGAGTCACTTCTGGGGTGTGAGTTTTCAGTTGCATATGTCCTGGGGACCATTCAGGCTTGTTCGCATTTGTGTTCCTCACGTGTTGCCCCAAAGAATGAGGTGATTTGGTAAAATGCTATGCCCAAGATAACTATCCGAGTGCCGGCGGTGGGGTGGTTCAAATAGCCTCGGCTATCACCTCATTATGTCCGGTCGTGATGGTCAAGTGGATTAAGGCGTCTTGTACATACCAGATGCGTTGCTTCTGGGAGTATGGGTTCGAGTCACTTCTGGGGTGTGAGTTTTCAGTTGCATATGTCCTGGGGACCATTCAGGCTTGTTCGCATTTGTGTTCCTCACGTGTTGCCCCAAAGAATGAGGTGATTTGGTAAAATGCTATGCCCAAGATAACTATCCGAGTGCCGGCGGTGGGGTGGTTCAAATAGCCTCGGCTATCACCTCATTATGTCCGGTCGTGATGGTCAAGTGGATTAAGGCGTCTTGTACATACCAGATGCGTTGCTTCTGGGAGTATGGGTTCGAGTCACTTCTGGGGTGTGAGTTTTCAGTTGCATATGTCCTGGGGACCATTCAGGCTTGTTCGCATATATATATATATATATATATATATATATATATATATATATATATATATATATATATATATATATATATATATATATATATATATAAAAAGGAGTTCAGAGGTGGTACCTGTATATAAACATGTTTGTATCGTGTCATTTGTATTGAGAAATACAGTATTCATTATCAGCAATATTATTCAGATTTGTAATGAATGTAAAATGGTATTTAATAGTAATACTGTAGATATATTTGCCAGAATGATTTTACATTAAGCTCTTGTATCTTTTAGGGAGCGGGAAAAGCGGCATAGATTGCAAGGAGAAGATTCAAGTTCTGATGGATCGAGGTCACATTCAGGATCTGGTTCACGGTCTGTGTCACGCTCAAGATCTAGGTCAAAATCTAGGCCAAGATCAAAATCTCGTCAAAGATCAAAATCTCACCATAGATCAAAATCTCGGTCAAAATCCCCTTTGCCTCCAAAGCAGGTCGGTGACTATCAGACTTTTTCCTTAGCTTGAGTCATTCATGTTGGGTAAGTATGATATGAATTAGATTTTAAAGGTTACATATTTATAAAAGCTTATAGTAAGAAGTGGCATATCAAATAAACAAAGGTCCCTTAAGGATTCATATTCCAGTATAATGCAGTTAACCTTAAATTATAAAAATGTAGCATTAATGTTTTCTATATATCAACTAATGGCAAACAAATTTTTCTTAACAGACAATAACATTTAATTTTAACCAATTGTCAAATATTCCCCATGCAGTTGAATCTTCATGAATATTGTTTGGTATAAATCAAAACAAAGCTATTAACTTCAACATTATTGTTGAGTTATTCACATCCATATCCAATGTTTGTTATTCTGTGTTTGACCACAGATATTGCTATTTTACTGAACTAGAAAATGTAGATTTATACCTTAAAGTTTGATTGCCAACAGACTACATCGGGCAGATGGACAGGTGAGAGCAGCCGTGGGAGGGAAGGAAATAGTTCTGGTGATTGGAGCAGGGACTCTCACAACCGTCAGTGGAACTCTTCACACTGGGACGCTCATGCTCCTCCCGAGAGATACCGTGACCCATATAGGAGGAGATCAAGATCATATAGCCCAGGAGGTCGATGGTATGTTTCTCATATTGGAGGGTATAGAAAAGTAGTTTTTGAATGAATAAAATAAATTCCGTGTCGAGTGTACAGTATCGTTGTCCCTGGTTCATTGCATGAAACAAACATAAAACAAAATAAAGTACGTGATTCAATGTAAATTATAAAATTGTAAATGGTGCTAAGTGAAGTACTGTATGCTAAAGCCTCTGAGTGAGGTGAGCAGCAGTGTGCAAAACTAAGCATTTGGAGGCAGGTGTGATCATGTGAGGCAAGAAAATGGTAAACGGTCGACTCTGGGGGGAATGGTTGATTCTGGGGGAACGGTTGATTAGAAGCAGGTGAAGAAAATACTTGTAAAAGTCTATTGTTGTATTTTTCAACCACAGTTCTGTAAACCTTCCTCAGGGTGTCCATGAGAAACATAGCAAACAGAAAGTATCACAAATAAATATTGATCAAAATACAATAAATATAATTGTGTAGGTATATTTACATTGGTTGAGGTATATGAAAAAATGAGTGCCATTGTAAAAAGATTGTGAGTCACATACAGTACTCTTTAATAAGTGGAAATAATGGCAGATATGCTAAAGTGAACTTGATTGGATTTGATGGTGAGGGATGGTGTACAATGATACATTGGCAGATTATATTCAATGATGCCGATATTCATGTTATATTCAAGGAATATATTATATTATATATAATATTATATAATATATTATATTATATATAATATATTATATATTATATATATAATATATAGGAATATATATATACAGTATATTTATATTCAAGGAAGAAGTGAGTATATCGATTAAGACCTAAAGTATAGGAAATCTTCAGTTGTTGTTAAGATGCCCGAGGAGAGGATCAAATTAAATAATAGAAATTAATTAATTTTAATTAAAAGTATTAAAAGAAAGTGGGTGAGGTGAGGAGAATTACCAAAGAATTGAAAAATGGATATAATTGTACCTTAAAAATAAAAAATAAAAAAGTTTAAGAATTGTAGTGCCATTGGAAATTAATTTCTTATTACAGGTACTATTTAAAAATTTAAGAATTCTGCCAAATTACATAATTTTAGCAAACATTGTTAAATGTTTTTTTCTAATTTTTTTTTATTTGCAAGGGATGGAGAGAGAGAACGTCACCCTGGTAGCAGAAGAAGCCGCAGTAGAAGCAGAGCTAGGGAGTATAACTCTAGCAGCAATAGTGCTACAAATGCTGGTAGCAGCTTCAGGAGACCAAAATTTCGGGATCATGAAAGAGAGAGAGATTGGGATCGACCAGAACACGAAGCTCAAAGAGAAGTTTTCAGAGATTACCAGCATGGCTATCAGAGGGATTACCAGCATGGCTACAAACGGGATTATCAGCATCGTAGTTATCATAGCAGAGATAACCCACAGAGAGACACCCAACAGAGAGACTTCCGAGAACGCAATCAAAGAGATTTCAGTTCGCAGGCAAACAAAAGACAACAGCAAGGGCAGAACTTCGGGGAAGAAGATAGGTAAGACTATAAAATGTGCTTCTGTTAAATGAAAGTATGCAGTTTTAAATTGGGTTGGGTTGTATATCAAGAAATATCATTTATAAGCCTATGTATGTTGTGTAATTAGTATGTGAACCTAAACGAGAAACAAATTGGTGTAAAGTATTTTGTTATTTAGGTTGAGAATAAGCTATGAACATTAGTGAAAAGGTTATGTTGTTAAATTATTTTTATCCCAATTTATTTGTTTTTGGGATACCTAGAGAATTCCTTTGTATATGAAAACTTTCAAAGTTCTGCATGAACATGCCGTATATACATTTGGCTATGTAATCACCTGGCTGGCTTGCACAAACAACTCAGACATACGCCCCTGCTAAACTTATGGTACTATTAGCAACTAGTTGGTCAATCATACAAAGACTGTCTGTTACCGCCACAAGTATTCGCATTGTGGCAGAGCCGGCGGCTGAGCGGACAGAACACTGTGTGATCATGTGGTCCCGGGTTCGATCCCCGGATGATCCACTCGCAGGATGAGTATGGGGTGCACAATAAACTAACAATCTTTTACACCTACAACTGTGCTTCCATGAGAGATTAACAAAATCCAGAGAGAACTAAATGTTATGTCAATTAATGAACAGTACAGTATAGACTTCATTTTTCTGCATTTCAAGATTAGAGATGGTTCATAGAAAATTTGTATTAACCGTCCTTACTTTCATTTCTCTTTTCAGGGATGATGGGGGACGGATTGGTAGAATTCGGTTAGTGGATTATTGATCTGTAAATCAGTGTGAAGAATAACCTCAAGCAGGTGTAAGTTTGCAAAAATTTTATCTTCAACATTAAATTGTCACATCTTTCTTGTAGCTCCCTTTGACACACACTGAAAACCAGTGACGAATTTGTATTTTTATATATTTTTACAAGGTAATCTGGAAAGGAACAATATTTGTACAACATTTGTTAAAATGTTTAAATGATGGCATTTCTCAACATGTTTTATAAATGTTCAGTTTACTCTATATCACTTGAGTATTTGGTCACAGTAAAGGCAGCTACTTAAAATAATACTTTGATATCAGTGTGAAGGATTGGTATTGTAAATAAAACCAGGTTCCCCATTTGCCTTTGTAACCTGTGTTGGTACTTGATGTACCAATTCCATTGTAAATGCCTTGTGCTTGAGTATACTACTGCAGCAACTCTGATATTTTGAAAATTATCTTTACCTGTAATTTTGTTATTCTCTTAAATATTTTCTCATCTTTCTCCTTCATTGGTTTTCTTTGTTTTTCTACTCTGCCTAAAATTGCAGAACCAGCATTGATTCCTCTCCAGCAGAACAGCCATTACTTTGTTATTCATGCAAAGTTGTGAAAATACATGCCTCAAAAATGTTGAAAGGTTCATAACTATGGAATATTTGAAATCCTGAGTGTCAATAAGGGATTGTTGAGATAAACATATTTCAGTGTACAGTACAGTACTGCACTATAAATTACACATCAGCATGTATTACATCTCGGGATTTGATAGAATATTTTTTGTAGGTGCCAACGCCTAGAGATGATAGTGATGTTATCATCATTCCAGTCTTGTGAAAGGTTATTGAGACAGGTATTCAAGCAGTCATGCGAGGCAAAGTTTGGCAAGGCTTGCATAACATTTGTTCTTTAAATGTAAATAAAGTTTGCAGTTAAAGCGTCATCCCCCCTTATGTGTCATGATTTTGAAAATAATGATAAATAGCTTTGCATAAAGTATACCCGGTATATTATTCTGAACTCATCGTTTCCTCTTGGTTGTATATATTACAAGTTATAGTATAAGTAAACCTGTTGTTTAATGTAAATTGCTTTTATAATAAAATATGCTTGAGGCTAATAATCAGTTTAAGTATCCTATACATGATTTTATAATGGAAAAAAATGTATACACATTTGAGTTTAGAAGTACTGTGTGTTCATTAAAGTTTAGGGTGTTTGACTAGATGTGGAAGGTAGGGGACAGGGAACAAGTTTCATACCTTTTTATTATCAATATTGTGCAAGCTAGGATCATTTTCTTACCTTAGCTCATCTTAAAACTGGACTTAGCATTTGATTTATTAGGTGAAATACAGTACTTTATTGATTTACTGTTAAATTTAGTTAGAATTGTTCTTATTTCATGAAAGACATGAAAGAAAACAATATTGTGAAACCTCAAACACAAGTGTTTTCAGAAAGTAAAATTTCAAATTAAAATTAGACTGCAATGCCCCCTGGTTGCTATCTTTGTATTATGATAAACATTTATTCCCTTACACTAGACTAGATGGAGTTCCCCGTGGTGCCCGAGTGACACACCATCCCAACACACACCCTCCATCACACTTTTTCAATACAGTGTTATCTTGAAATGATTTCGGGGCTTTTAGTGTCCCCACAGCTCGGTCCTCAACCAGGCCTCCACCCCCAGGAAGCAGCCCGTGACAGCTGACTAACACCCAGGTACCTATTTTACTGCTAGGTAACGGGGGCATAGGGTGAAAGAAGCTCTGCCCATTGTTTCTCGCCGGCGCCTGGGATCAAACCCAGGATCACAAGTCCAGCGTGCTGTCCGCTCAGCCGACCGGCTCCCTCATTGTAAAGTCATCATTGACTTTATTGTAAAGATTTGTATTTATTGCTTCATCATTGTAAAGATCTTCACATATATGCTCCCATCACACACTGCCAATTTCAGAGAACATCTGTGTACATAAGTGTCTAAAGACTAACTGGGGGAAAATTACTTAAGGAGCTAGGAAGAAACATTAGTTGGCCCAGATGGAGTTTCACCTTTGGTTCTCTGAGAATGCACACCTAAGTTGAGCACTACTGCAACTGATATTTCAAACATCTTTATGTACAGGAATTTTAGCAGATAAATGGAAAAAGGTGAACACGGTTCCAATCATCAAAGTTGGTAGCAGAAAAAGACTTGTAGGCCCCATATAGTTAACAAGCTTTGTAGTCAAAACATTAAACATTATTAAATTTGAATGAGGTAGAACATCTGGATATAAATGATAAATCTGTTTCTTTGATAGCCACAGAAAGGAGATAATTAAATTGACTGCATCGATATGGACCTAAAATACTTTTGACGGTCCCACATGAGAGGTTGTGCTGGAGGAGTGACAGACTTGTTACAAAAATTAGGGCAGTAATCTGAGGCAATGTATCAGACTGGAGAAATGTTACTAGTAGCATACCACAGTTCAGTTCAAGCCCAAAAAATTTTAATTTACTTTAAGAAAACAGCGGGAGTGTTCACGAAACTATTTCACAGTTCAGGTGACGGCCGAAGTACCCATACTCTTGCTCCAGGGCATCTCGACATTCAAGTCACTTCTCTTTAGTCGTCCTCATCCTTGTCTTTGATACTAACTAGCTGGAAGCCTCTGCCAAGACTAGTAATACATTTGCTTCATCCCAGCTGTTCCCAGCTGTAGGTATTTAGTCACGCACTATGAGAAATTATAGTTCTTACCAGCCCTAGTTTCATGTATCAAACAGTTTAAAATTTATCTTAAATTCACTAAATGTAAAAAATAAGAGCCATATTGAGGACTCAAACCAACATCTCGGGTACTTGAAACACATTACTCTTATCTATATGATTTAGAGAGAGAGTAACCAAACTAAACTAGAATGTCTTACCATACTGCTGTACCAGGTATTCCACGAGTGTAGTTTGCCGTGGCCTTTAGGCTGAGAGAAGCCAGGGTCGTGGGACCAAATTAAACTAAATGCAGGAAGGGGATTAGAAGAACAAGGGTGCCGCTTGAAGACTGAACTGTTGAACGTAATATGTTACGGGAAAGAAACTAGTTTGAAACAGGCTAGTGTCTTTGGAGAACTGTAGACTTTCCCTGCGGGACTTTTGGGAAGGAGAGAGGAGACTAAAACTGGTGCAGACAACTGGTTTTGCTCAGAAGATGGGAGGAACACCAGGGAGCCGTCTGGGGTCATGTAGTGGTCCCTGAAGGGAGGGGGAATGCAATGCAACACTGGAAAATGAAGGGGTGGAAAGGGGGACGGGAACGGACCCTCCACTGAACTTCAAGAGACGAACCTGGAACTGTATACTGAAAGTGAGGTAAAACACACTGAAGTGCTTTTGTGTCTCGTCCTCCCTTTTATAACCAGCAGGCAACCAGAACCCGGCCGCTGGTTGGTTAACATTCACCCTAACACTCTCCTCATTGGTTAACATTTTGCGAGTCTGAAGTGTCAATTATCAATGGCCAACAGCCACTCCTTCACTTCCACAAATACGAACGAGTCCTCGAGCGCCTGGAATATAAGTCTCAAGACGAGTCTTGTAGGATGTCAGACGGTTCTTAGCTCCTTCCTACACGTCCTCTACAACTCCAACGTCTTCAGTTCTGCCTGTTAAGAGCTGTATGTTTACCTTGAGATTTATAAGCTTATAATTGGTTTATCGTAACCTCCATCTCAGACGACCACAGCCAGACAGTAAGGAAGGCAACGAAGACAGTCTTGGGGTACTAAAAACATCTACAACGACCAAATAACCCCCGACACACAGCACCGCTCCTGTGCCAGGTAAGTCCTCAACGGGCTCACCATAGCCCGTGATACTTGGCACTTATTCCGAGTAGCTGAATCCATAACAACAACGAAGAGATAACATAACACGACATTGTCTCTCACCACGTCAAGTCTGTCACGTGACACTAGAGCCTCTGATGTTGATGCCTCAAGTCTTCCTACTTGGAAACCTGTACACTGAACATTGCTACCTTCAACACTGCCAGTATATCCTCAGGATGGATATAGTGTCAACAACTAGTCACTCGATGTGTATGGGGTCCACTACCGCCCATCTGTGTGCGGAAGTAGACCCCATACCAATCCTTTGGATGCTAGTGGACCCCATACCCATCCTATGGGCGGTTGTAGGCCTCATTCCCCATCCTACTGGTGGTAGTGGACCCCATACCCATCCTGTGGACGGTAGAGAACCGTATGCACATCCTCTTGGCGGTAGAGGACCCCATTCTTTTGGGAATTGAGCTAGCATACGAGCCAAGTGACGTTATTTTAAAGAGGACGGGTTGGGTAGTAGACCCTTTATCTATCCTGTTTGCAGTAGCGTACCCCAATTTCGTTGTATATACATATAAGCATATATAATAATTTCGAGCTTAGTTACAGTGAGCTTTATTTTACTAAGAAGCCCTAAATTCTCAATTTCTCATTTCTCATGGCCTTTTAATGGGCTATACTGTAATACGATATATTCAGTTCTAATACCGATATATATTCAATGTCAACCAAATTTTTTTTACTAATTGAATATGAAAAGGGCTGCAACTGTTCCAAGTTTCAGTATCTCCGCCTAAATTTATTTTTCCCACCAATTTTCCATATTTTCAAATAAAACTCTACAACCCGGTTTCAAATGAAATCATTTATATGACTCCTGTATTACATTAGCATATAATAAAGGATTTTACTTAGCAGGATTATCGAAAATGTTTAGTTTTATCAATACAAATGGTCGAAGTTCCCCCAAAATTTATGCAAAGATGTTTATAACTATAAAATCAATAAAAAAACTTTGGAAAAAAAGTAAAATTTTTGTACACAAACTTTACATTCAAGGTGTAAATTTCATGTAAATCGAATAAAAAATTAAAGTAATGTTAATTTACAATAAATGAAAAATTCTGCCACGTGGGCTGAGGTTGAACCAATTTCCTCCAAAAAATTGGCACCCTTTAGATAAAATAAGTAAAGTAAAGGTTTAGATAAAAAATTACATTTATTTACTAAATTTGTTGGGGATAAAACCAATTAAAATATTTTATCTGCTATTGTGAAAGCTTAAAGCACCATTTCAGTTGACGCCAGTGTTTTGGTGTTAATTTTCCACCACCAAAGTAAAGTAACTGCAGAGTACGAACATTTTGGAAATTGTACTTTTTTCGCTCTTCCTATTTATGCTAAGAGGCTCAGACTGACCCGTTGAAGCTCTTTATCGAACCAGTTTTCGTTTATTGCACATTTTGCATTACGCCCTTATATTAATAGGATTAATTGTAGAATACTAGTTTAAACCCTTGGGTTGAAAAATCAGCTAATACAAGACTAGAAATTTTCAATTTTAGTAGATTATTCATCGGTCAACAGCTATCATTTTAGCCGACTTTACTTCGTCTTAATTATCAAGCCTTAAAATCATTCAACACTAAAATAAGGAGCCATAGGTGGCAGCCATGTATATCACAGATTAACTACAAAGTTTAATTGTAATTATTATTCATTTAACTTTGCCTAGTTAACTAGACTAGTACTCTGAATATTGGTGCCCAGAGACGGTTGTTTGCTGCTCAAGAGCACTGCTCTGCTCCACACGGGCAAATTACAGACCTATCCCAGGATGCACGAACTGTATATATTGCCTTGTTATTTTCTCCACATATATTGCAAAATGTCCATCGGCTCAGGGAGAGATGCAGTACACGTGTGGGTAGAGCAAGTTATCAAAAGGCACAAAGCCCGACTAGCTATAGAGTATTTACTCACGGCTAGATGAACAGCACATTTGTCCTGCCAGAGATTCGAACCAAGAATTCTTTATTGCGTAGAGCATAACCTACCTGTTTTCTTAACTGTGCACTTGGTAGCAGATAGCCGCCTTAATGGCAGCATTTGCACTTATTTCGACACCAATATAGCTAAGAATCCAGCAATCTACAAAATTGACAATTTAAAGGGCACTGTACAATAACTTATTTGTTTTTTACTTTTGTAGAGTTCAGATATTAGTGACGCCGCCCAACAAGCATAGAATACAATGTGAAGAATACAATCAAAAGAAACTGCTAGATCATAGGTAATCAATTTTACTAAATTTATCTAAATTTTACTAAAAAATCAAGTTATGAAGTGCATCAAACTTTGGTATTGGCGGCAGTTTTAAACTAAACTTTCGTTACAAAGTTTACACTTCCTATATTTTAAACATCTTTAAGGATTAGAAAATGTCAAATTATTCAAGTTGCCATTTATTGGATTACTTCTTTTTGTCCTTCTTAAGGGGACCCATGAAGGCGGCCTTTTCAGCACTTGTCTGGAAGCGACCATGACCCATCTTACTGCTGGTATCAATGAAGTGAAGGTTGATCTTCTCCAAGGCAACACGTTTTGTTTGTACCACAAGAGACTGCAGAGAGAAATACATTATACCAAACATTCCTAAACAGAAAATTAATTTTTATAACTTAAAAAGTCAGTCCTATCATTCAATATCACATTGAATTCATAAATAAGGCTCGATATTCTCATCACAAAGACACCCCTAAACATAAGTTACAGCATTTAAACTGTCTTTACATGTATATACATAGAAAGTATAAAGTATACTTATACGTATACTTTCCATACCTTTCTCAGGCAGACAACACGTTTCTTGGGACCAGCACAGCAACCCTTTATCATGACGTAGTCCTGATTAACTTCACCATAATGCGGGAAACCACCCATTGGTGTGATGGTCTTGTCCGTCATGTCATAGTCAGTGGCCGCATTGTTCTTCACAACCTAGAAATTTTTAAATTATTACCCCTTCCTGCATTTCAGCTTCAGTAAAATAATTCCTACAATATCTAGATCAATGGGTTCCAGAATAAATTTGTTTGCATACTTTATATTTGGAACACTAGTTTTACTTTTGACCTAATTGCCTATAAGACTAATGTAACCTAATGGTGTGTAGACCCTTACTTTAATTTATGGGTAGTGAAATTATAATGTTAACAACAGTTGTCTACATAAAGTTCCCTACACTTTAAAAACTACATATCTTCAATACATCTGTTAAATGATGTGTAATTTATAGTTTTTTTTTAAGATCTTAAGAAATTAGTCAAGTTAATCACCAGTACTAGATTTAGTTTCAAAGCCCTAAATGTTTCAGGTCTCCTAAAACAAATGAATAAGTGCATTGGATGTCATGTCAGTAAAGCATCCTGAATTTGCTCATGTTGAGATGAATGTCATTACTTTGCCTAATTACTGATGCATGCCCTGATACAAGTGATACTGATAACTTGTGACAAGCAATTAATCTTTGCACAGCTCTAATTACCCCCAGCCCTTTCAGTTACGCAACTCAGTTATACAAATGTTGTACTCGAGCCCTTTAACTACAGCTTTAGCAAAGCACAATTCCTGGGACATTTTCTCCCAAAATTTTGTAATTTCAATGCATGCCAACTACTCTTACAATAATTATTTTTTGAACAATTATTTATATCTCACAGGACCTTTTAAGCTTCCACTAATGTATTCATACCTTACAATATGAATGGGAGGACTTTGTCCACATGGTCTTTACATTAAAGTATTAACCTAGTCTCATAGCCAAGGTAATTTCAGAGTGGATGGCTTCCCAGTTTAAGTTTACTTTCCCATCAAGTACCACTTTTACTAAATCTTTCCATGTACCTTGATGTATTTCCCAATATTAGTTGAAACTTAAAAGCACTTTCTCAAGTTTCAAAATGCCTGAATCTTTTAAATGGAACAATGTGCAAATTTTTTCCCCAACCTATTTAAGTACTTGCCTTTCCATCTTTAGTGTGCACACCCTGTCCAAGGCGGTAAATCTTCTTGTTCATTTCTGTGCGGTGGTGGTAACCCTTCTGCCCAGCACGAGCAACCGTGAACTGAACACGACTTGGATGCCAAGCACCAATGCAGGCAACCTTGCGCAAACCTTTGTGGGTCTTGCGTGGCAGCTTCTTTGTATGCCATCGAGAAGTTACACCTGTTAAAAATCAGATATTAGCATTTCTTATATTTACTAATTTTCCTCACACCCTCTTATCATTGTCAGAAGGAAGGCAACATAGTATCAACAGTTGAAATCTGAGCCGTTAATCATCATGAATTTATAATTTTTACAAACTTACAAAAACCAGTTCATTAAAAGGTTCCAAGGGTAAATCCACTACACGTACCTTTTACACCTTTGCCCTTGGTCACACCAATAACATCAACCATCTCATCCTGAGCAAATACACTTGAAACGGGTATCTGCTTCTCAAAGTGGGATACAGCCCAATCAACTTTCTCTGCAATTGTTCCACCATTAACCTGGATCTCCATGATATGGGCCTTCTTTTGCCTCTTTTTCAAGATCTTGATCTGTAGAAAACAAGCAGTGTAAGTAATTTTTTTATGAAAGTACAGTACATAAACTTAAAATTTTTATACTTTTAGAAAGTTAAACGTAACAAAAATTTACATGGTGTTAAACTTTCCCAGTGGCAACTGATCTCTACTATATAATGGTAGGAATACATTTTCCTGACAAGACACTTTACTGATAATTTTTTTGGCCTTTGCCATCACAACTACCTATGCTAATAGAAATCCTGCCTCACTTTTAATAACACTTAAGACTTGTGATATGAAAGTTTAGGAAATGAGCAAGTAATAATCAATCGAGGGTGCCAAGCCAGGATGACTAGCACAGTGAGCCATGATTATTAACTAAGCACATTGTTAAAAGCAACTAATACTTGCTTATTTTCCACTGCTGCTCATGTTAGTTTAATACAACCCAAGATAGCAAGAATTAACCCTTCACATGCTACATTGAACTCGTGTACAATATGGCTCAAACATTTAAGACAAATTAAATGGGGAAAAAAAAGCCACATCAAAGCACTAGCATTTCATGCAAAATATTGCAGTATTGGTTCTAGCATTTCATGCAAAATATTGCAGTATTGGTTCTAGCATTTCATGCAAAATATTGCAGTATTGGTTATTTGATCAGTGGGTTATGCACATTCCAATTAGAGGCCACAACTGCAATTTAGATTTTTGGGGTTTTTGTAAAGCAAGTGAAATGGCAACATGTCAAATAATTACACATTTTACAAAGTGCTACCAAGTCTCATCAAAGTACAAGTGTAACATTTACACCCATAATTCTTTTTAAATGTTATTGGCACAGATCAACAGCATCTTTCAACCTACTCTTATACTGCTATTTTGCCTATGCCTATGTTTGCCAGCCCCTTTCAAAGCTGGAGAAATTGCTGACCTGGAGAGCATTCAGAAATCCTTTACTGCTAGAATCCACTCAGTAAATCATCTAAACTACTGGGACCTACTAGAGCCTAAACCTGTATTCTCTAGTGCAGGCGGGATTACACATTGAAAATAGTAGGAGGGGCTGGTCCCAAACTGGCACACAGAAATAACAGCACACAAGACCAGAAGGCATGGCAGGATGTGCAGAATACTCCCGTTGAAGAACAGAGGTGCAACAGGTACGTGGCCTGGTCAATGACCGGGCCACGGGGTCGCCGAGCCCCGGAATCACCTCAAGGTAACCAAGGTATGCCATCCAGAGATATTCAAACAAAAAAATGCTGACCATTTATACCTTTCAGCACAAGATTTTTTTCCATGGGTCATCGTAAACTAAGTAACATTTACATGCAACCAGGATTCTGATAATATTTGTGGCTCTAGTTAATGTGCATAGTATATTGGGAGGATTTTGAAGGGCCAGGGACCACTGATATCTGACTAGCATGTGACTATCAAGCACTTAGAAATTACAACACCCACCAGAATTCTGGTGTTATGGTGCACACAGTATTAACAGAATACAGTAATGTGTATAACCATGTTCTACATTGATATAATGACAGCCCAATGAATCACTGCACATTAAAAATTAATTATTTTCAAATTCAGTTTCTTCATTAAATATTACATTATAGAACAATTTTTTTTCATTTGTACTGAAAACATTTTCATTACTTTTTAATGATAAATATGTAGTGCAAGGTTGAATTTGTTTTAGATTCATACATGCACTAGTACTTAGTGGTTTGTTAATAAAAATGTTAATAGTGTATAAAAATATTGTTCTAGAAATCTGCAGTAATATGGTTATCTTGGTGCACATTAGTGATAAAAATATTTGAACATTCTGATGTTCCATGCATTATTTATATACAATTCTCAAATAAAACTTACTGGAGAAATCCAGAGAAAAAGAGATCAAAATTAAAATATCACAGCAACTACCACCCCATGACTAGTCCAGGACAATCTTAGGGCACTGCACTATTATGCTCGTGAATTTAGAGCAAAATTCTCATCTTACAGTTCATTTTTTTTTGTCTAATCAGGGAATGCAAGATTATTAAAGAATAAATTTATATTTTTCCACGTGCATTTTCTCTGGGTTTCTTTCCGAAATCTTACTTTTTATTTCACGCTTAAACACTTTCAGAACACTAACCTGTGTGTGAGCAATGATGCGAATACAACTGCAGTACTTCTTCATCTTGGCAATGTCAGTCTCAATCACCTTCTTGCCAAGCTGGTCCTGCCACTTTTGAGATGCATTTGTAAATGCCTTCTTCTTTGACTTGTGCCTGTTGATAGAAAAGTGTGAGGACCTCTGTCACAAGCAGAAGGCTTGGAGGAAGAGATCCAACACACAGAGCACTGCCAAACAAGCAAGTGCTCCATACGGGTATTCCTTGGATTTATACAAACGACAAGACCACTCAAAGCAACACTGCTACATGGCTTATCAGCTTAGAATAACTCCTTGGAATATCCCACAGCTGTCCAATATTCATGGCCAACTTTAGCTGCCAGAGGAGTAAAGGACTGCCAACAGAGTGAGGCAACATTAAGACCCTATTCACTTTAGTAAATTTAAAAGTAAAAAATATATATGTACATTAGTTGATTGAATAACTTGACCATAATCATACCAGTTCTTGTAGAAGCGCCTTTTGCACTCTTCTGAAAGATGTTCAGCCCAAACAGTTTGGAAGGTACGCATGCCTCGAGGGGTGTTGATGTAGCCAACTATGCCAACACAAATCATTGGAGGAGTTTCTAAAATTGTTACACCCTCAACAACCTCCTTCCTATTTATTTCTGAAAGTAAAAGCCATAATTAAAACCAAGATTTACAGAAATTAAAGTAATCACAGTTATGATTTAGTAACGTACAAATCCTATAGCTATCGTTTGTATAGTGTATGGTCGTACCCCTTGATCATAGCCCACTAGGGGCTTCAAGACGTCATGGAATATACACTCCCTAATCCGCACCCGGCTGTTACACCAGGGAACTAGGTTTATCTCTGATGCACGACACGGGATGACTGTATTAACAGTTCCCAAAGTCGTTTTGTGGGTCGCCGGCGTTAGCCAACTACCACAGGTCATCAGGTTTGCTAAAAATTAGGCAAAATATATAAAATTCAAGTTTTTTTTTTTTTCAATTCAAATAATTTTTACACAATTTACATACAGCTTTCACAATTTTTTAACAGTATTAATATTAGCATTCTATCATTGAAATTAATCTAATCTGGAATGTTCAAATGTTCCAAGAACAATACTTTTATGAAGATACCACAATATTAGTAAGTTAACTTTTTACTAAGCCTGTATAGACTTAAAATGGTAACTCTTGCAAGGGCAATTTTTTGGTGGATACATGTGCATTTCTGTAGACAATTTATCTTTTAATATCAAAAAATTATATCTGCAATTTTGATATTTAGGATAAATACAAATACTGTGAAAATACTTACCATTAAAATATGTATTTAAATTCTAAAGCAATATAAAAAATTAATAAACTCATGATTAACAAGTTTCCCTGAATAAGCAATTACCCTTTCAAACCAGGATTCAGTTGTGTATAGTATAAATTGATCCATAGAATAAAACATGAATACTCACTAGATCCCGGCTTGTCAGCAACACGAACGATATGAGTCATGCCAGCTTTGTAGCCAAGGAAGGCTGTGAGATGAACAGGCTTGGTCTTGTCATCCCTGGGGAAAGCCTTTACCTTGGGGCGATGACGCTTTGAACGTTTCTTCGGGTAGAACCCCATAGACCCATGACGGGGTGCACTAAACTTTCGGTGAGACTAAAAGTAAAATAAAAAATACGTTAGTAAATATAGAACAAAATATAAATGAAAAGTATGATAGTAAATATAGGACAGCATTCAACATATCTGGCAAGATATCAATATTTAAATGTAGCATGTATGGTTTTTCACCTTGATCATGGCCCACTAGGAGCTTCAAGATGTTATGGAATATACACTCTTCAATCCTCCCCAGCATTACACCAGGGGGACTGATTACTCTATGATGCACAACACGGAAGGACTGTACTGACAGTTCCCAAAGTTGCTTTGTAGTTGCCAGCTTGCGCCAGCAACCACAGGTCATCAAGTTAAAATAATAGCAAAACACTACAGTATACAAACATACAAGTAATACTACCAGGACAAAAGTGAAATGGGGAATATGCAAGTGCCAGACCAACCAGGTTTTAAACCAGGTCTGTGGGCCTGCAAGCTACCCCCAAGCAACAGCTCAGAGCCAGGCTTTAGCTGTAGAACTACTAACCCCATCCAGGTAGAATACTATTCAAATATTTACCTACAATATACTTTAATATTTTCTGGGAACACAGCCAAGGTTGATTAGTTATCCAACCATGCCTAAACTGGAAGTGAGGCCATTCACTTTTTAGTTATACCAATCTTATCTCCACCAAAACCAAACTAAAACCAAAACCCAAATCTCTACCAAAACCAAAAATTATCTACCAAAATGATAAAATCCAGCTGCTATAGCATTAAAATAAATTTCAATACCAAATTGCTATACCTATGTCCATATCAAAAACTGATACATAACTATACATCTAACCTTTTTTCACAATGGTTCAGTTCAAACCCCCTCTTATCTTAATACTGTACTCAATATATAGGGGACAACACATTCTTTCCTGATATTTAATAAATGGTCTTGCATGTTGCAGTATATTACATTAAGAACTAGAAATTGAGCAAAACTTAAAATTGGACAATTTATCCCAAAATACATTATGAATACAATAAAAAATATAAAATACAATTAAATACAATAAGTATACAATACAATAAGATCTTACACCCTTTGCCAACTGAATTTAGAATCGAACCTAACCCAAGCATCCCTTTTATGTACATAAAACTACATATCCAAGCACTTTAAATGTTAAGCACACCCCACTACCAGGAGTAGAAGTCGCCCAAGCCTTGCCTCTGGGTTACTTACATTACTAGAACCCTACTTAAATAAGTTTAAGTCCTACTTAAATTAACAAGCACCAGGTTTGAACTCTGCTCTAAAGGCTCCATAACCTTTTCCAATAGCCGTGTATTTGTCCCCACTTATACACTATACAACGGCATGTACAAGGATTTCCCAGAGGCCACATTTAAAAGCACAATCAAAGCATTTAAGCCTACCTACCTACCTACCCTTCCAGATGGTATATAGAAAGTACAAGGAAGCCTGGCCACGTGGCCAAGACATGCTTGAGAAGCAGGGTACAGCAAGTATACCGGTACTCGCGTACAACGCAAGTTTCCACAGACAGTAAAGGCTGGTGGGTTTCCTTAATCTACTAGTATGAAGGTATACAGGACTGCTGGACCACGTGCAGCGGCCATTTTACCACCATATGGCCACCCATGTACCAAGGCCACGTGGAAGGTACCCCCAGCTCCCACAGTAAGTCTCCCACATGCCATTATTATATCCTAACCCATATTTACCCACGACTGAAAACCATATTTGTGCGGCCTGAAATCAGGGCTCCAGATTGTCTCATTTTCTTCAGAAATACTTTCACGTTCTAATTTTACACTCCAGTAATAACGTCCAAACAGTTAAGAGCGGCGGTTACTGCAGATACCATCATTAACTAGCACAACTGCCCTACCTAGCCTTATCTACTTAACACTTAAAACTAAAATAAGCTAAAAGCTCGAAAGAAAATGTGTTAAAAAGAAAATTTCACCGGGTCAAAGTACCGTAAACTTTTTCCCACCAAATCGTTTAGCATATTACCAAAAAACCTAGCGCCGGACTCTCCATAAAATGGTCTTGCTTGGAACGTTATAATTAGAGAAGCTGAATCTTAAAACTAAGATCTAGCAAGATATTATGAGGAACACCGGCAGGGAGGCGCCGCCGCCGCCATGCTGCCTCTCCCACACACACCATCCCTCCCACCACCACTTCTCCCGTGTTAAAACTACTTCAACTACACTTACCATATCACACAACACACTCCAGGATATTATTCACAAATCAAAATGAATAGAACCTAAAATATAGTCTAAAAAAACCACACTTTTAAGACACAAGAGGAGCGGGACTCACCATGATGCCTCACGCTGCGGGAAAGACTTCCATGATGGCTGCGCGGCTATTTATATGGCCCCACCCGCGCACACTGGTGCCACATCTCCTCCCACCCCGCCAAGATTCAAACGATATTTAGATATAGATTTAGATTTTTTAATCAGGTAAAGGTACATACACTGAGTTACATACATAATGTTGGATTTAAAGAGATAGTACATACAATACCTAAAGCCACTAGTACGCATAGCGTTTCGCGCTGTAACGTTTTGTAACAGTGTTGCTGCTAGCAGTATTCACTGTTAATGTAGGCTTATTATTGCTCTAAAAGTTTATTAACACAACTTAATTTCTTCCTGAGCAACAAGCAAGTATACTTTAGTCCTAGATATAGTTCAGAAATACAGTAAACTTTATATACACCAAGAATCAAGCAGGGTACGCCTTACTCTCGGTGAACATAACCTTGTGTTATTGTACATTAATCCACTTTAATTATATAGAGCCCAGTACATGTGATAGTATAATATAGTTCATATGCACGTCTAAAATTTAACATTATTATACCGTCCCTAATTTTTCTGAACGTGTATATTACTTAAATTATTTCATTTGTTATGCATCCGTTTATACCCATACATGCAGTGGGTATTAGTGACCACGTGGGACGCCTGTCTATGGCTACAGTGGGCATTAGTGACCACGTGGGACGCCTGTCTATGGCTGCAGTGGGCACCAAGCCACAATGCTTCTTTACCCAAGCAAGTCATTCGTCAATGCCCCATTGACGAATGACTTGCAGACCTTGTTAGCATATACATTAACAGCCTATTTACAGATTTTTAGTCCCTTTAGCATAGTTCAACTATTTCAGCACCCGCACCCATTGAGTGAGATACACTCATTTATATTATGAGCATATGCTTTGGCTAAGTCTTATTATGGACTCGGAGCTCAGTAATGTGAACAATTACTGTACATTAACACGTTTAAGAGAAAGGAGCACGACAAATAGTAAGAAGAGTGTAAACTTAATTCATTCACCTCCTGATACATTCTCTGAATTTAGTTGCCATTTTTATCAATCAATTTTGAGCGTTGTTGATACTATTTAAAGCACTTTGGTTTTAGTTATGTGTTCACAGCACGCATGGAATGAGCTCATGCGTGGCGTGAACGCCGCCAATAAACTATAGTCCTCCGAGGCAAAAACAAAACAAAAGTACTTAATTTTATACGGCAGCATCCGAGGATGGTCCTCATGGCATCATATATAAGATATATTATTTAATTTCTTCATGACTTTAAAGCATTCTGTCGTGTACCAGAGCAACCAAGGATACATCACTGACTATTTCTTACCTGTAACAGATTTAAGACAGTTGAATTTTGGGTTCTCAGCCATGCTGGTATATTACATTAGAACATAAGAATCAAGGAAACTGCAGAAGGCCTACTGGTCCATACGAGGCAGCTCATATTATATATATATATATATATATATATATATATATATATATATATATATATATATATATATATATATATATATATATATATATATATATATATATATATATATATATATATATATATATATATATATATATATATATATATATATATATATATATATATATATATATATATATATATATATATATATATATATATATATATATATATATATATATATATATATATATATATATATATATATATATATTATATACTTATTTATTTAAACAATAAGGGATCTCGGTAGTGCAGTCGGGTTTGTTCTCTATGTACAATCGATAATTCCAGGCTTCGAATCCCGGGCGGGACATAAATGGTTGGGCACATTTCGTTTCACGTAATGCATCAGTTCACCTACAGTAAGTAGGTACTCAAGAGCTAATCAGCTTGTTGTGGAGTTGCATCCTGGGTGGGGTCAGTAATTCGACCTTAACCTCGATATAAGCCTAATGTGTATGAATACACTCTGGCTTCCTGTCCCAACACATTGAATAATTATTATATCCTCCCAAACTTTTACCTAAATGAACGTGCGGACACTGTCGCTAGGAGATTGTCCGCACTTGTCTTATTTCCCCCGAAAAAAGGGTATTCCTTTTTCAGGTTTCTACCCGTCATTCATTGCTCAATCCGAGACCGGTGGCAGGGTCACTGGTCTGAGGTTACACTCTCAAAGGTAATATGTCCCCTTGGCCTTCTTCCTATCACCTAGGAGCTAGGTTTATTTCTTAGCCATACACACCTAACTCATGGGCATTCAATAGAACGCTGCCCTGCTTCTTATTGTCCAAACTGCATTGTCCAATATTTATATTTTTAATAATGTATATTTGATCATTTATATTTTGCACAAAAGAGCGACCATGGCTGCTGAAAATATTATACTGATAACCTCTCTAATACAATAGTATCCTCAGTACAGAACAGTACACAGTACAGTAGATAATCATTGTTGACAAGAACATTTTGTTAAAGTGAATTGGTATCATACTGTCATTTCAACGCGTTTATGTACAGTTTTAAAAAATTATATAAATGGACTTTGCAAAATAAACAAATTGGTATAAAATAAGAAAATACAATTGTTGGTTTTGTATTGTATTTGTATTACAGCCTACAGTAATCATAAATGCATTACCTTGTGATTAAGAGGTACAGATTTATAAATAAATATATATCAGATATAAATTTGGTGCGGGTATTCTCTCTCAACTTCTGTATATCGTCCGAGCACGCCTTCCTCTGTAAACTGGTAAGTGAACCTTTGTCCTAAACAAAGAATATTCTCAACTTATGACTATTATAACTGTCCGAGAGATTACACTAAAGTAGCTTAATAAAACAACAGATATAAACGCAGCAGATATAAATATATATAAACTTTGCCCGAAACGCTATGCGTACTAGTGGCTTTAGGCATTGTATGTACTAGCTCTATCTATAAATCCAATATTATGTTTGTAAATCAACTATGTATGTACTTATCTGAATAAAATTGACTTTATTACTTACTAGATGTTTACACATTCTCTCAGATGTGATGGAACAGGAAACCAGTGATAATCGAAACATTTGACGACGATCGATAGAACAAAACCAAAATATACTAACCGGTAAAATTGAAAACAAAATAACACACGAACTCCTTAATAATCATGACCCGTTTTTACTACAGTACAAACTACAGTCTTTTTTATTGTTGTCCACTTGACAGTGTGGCCAGCCAGCCACCACACTGTTGCCACACTACCCACTGTGTCCCTCGTCTCTCAAGAGTGAACTTTAAAGCTTCATCATCTTGGCCAGGAACAGCCCCTGGATGTTGTGGTGGTGGGAGTACACCCTGATGCACTTCTCCATCGAGTTCTTGAACCTGTGTACAAAAATTAACATTCAGACAAGAAAAAAATAGCTATGCAGTATAGCCTATATGTATAAACTGAAAACTCCACACCCCAGAAGGATTCGAACCCAGACAGCCAGGAGCACTATGCACCTTGGCGTACCTGGTACCTTAACAACGGTGCGTAGTACGCCAAGGTGCTTAGTGCTCCTGGCTGTCTGGGTTCGAATCCTTCTGGGGTGTGGAGTTTTTAGCTGCATATTGGCTTGGGACCCATTCAAGCTTGTTCCCATTTGTGTTGCTCACGTGGCCCCACCAAGTGAGGCGATCCGATAAAATATCTATGCCCAAGTTGACCACCGAGCGCTGTCGAATCTTGGATAAATAGTCTCACGACCACCAAGATTTTTGTACAGTCAGTGAGTGTGGTCTAGTGGTTAAGGTACCATGCACGCTAAGGTACATAGTGCTCCTGGCTGTCTGGGTTCGAATCTTCCTGGGGTGTGGAGTTTTCAGTTATATATTGGCTTGGGACCCCTTTAAACTTGGGTTCACTTGGGAACACGAACAAGCTAGGCTATCATGCATATGTCAGTTGCTTAATTTAGAACCTGTACTTGAGGTCGATCTCGAACCCATTGTTGATGTGACGACTTATATTGAATTTTGTAACTAGCTCATCAAGATTGTAACTTGCTTAGCTAAATGAATTGTGGGGTTCAGTCCCTGAGCCCATTATGTGCCTCTGTAACCCTTTCCACTACCGCCCACAAGATGGGTATGGGGTGCATAATAAATGAACTAAACTAACTATCATGCACAGATAAACAGGAAACAAGCCAGGGCTATCATGCACAGATAAACAGGAAACAAGCCAGGGCTATCATACAGAGATAAACAGGAAACAAGCCAGGGCTATCATACAGAGATAAACAGGAAACAAGCCAGGGCTATCATGCACAGATAAACAGAAAACAAGCCAGGGCTATCATACACAGATAAACAGGAAACAAGCCAGGGCTACCATACACAGATGAACAGGAAACAAGCCAGGGCTATCATACACAGATAAACAGGAAACAAGCCAGGGCTATCATACACAGATGAACAGGAAACAAGCCAGGGCTATCATACACAGATAAACAGGAAACAAGCCAGGGCTATCATACACAGATAAACAGGAAACAAGCCAGGGCTATCATACACAGATAAACAGGAAACAAGCCAGGGCTATCATACACAGATGAACAAATCAGCACAGCTCACCTGACACCCTGGTAATTGAACAATCCAGGTTGACCAAACGGCAGAGACATGGAGACCAACTTCACGTTCCTCTCACACAAAGCATACTGAACCACCTCCTCGTTCTCGTTTGCCTGTGAATGAACACATCGTCAGCGCACAGTTGTCACAAAACAAAGGCCAGATTCACCAAGCAGTTACGTAAGCACTTACGACCCGGATTGCTGTTCATCTTTTCTCAATCTTTGGCGGGTTTGTTTACAATTATTAAACAGTTAATGAGCTCCGAAGCACCAGGAGGCTGTTTATAACAATAACAACAGTTGTTTGGCAAGTTTTCATGCTTGTAAACTGTTTAATAAATGTAACCAAAGCCGTCAAAGATTGAGGAAAGATTTACACGTTCATAAGTACTTGAATAACTGCTTCGTGAATCTGGCCCGAATCTGGTTCCAGCAAGCACTGGGTAGATAGCAATTAGATTTGCAATTAAGTTTGTAAGATTTGCAATAGATTTGTTCATCGGGTGACCTGACATTAGATTGCAATGCAGCTAAATATTATAACTATTAGGTCGACTAATTATGATGACCCAACATAGGTAAATATAGAGCTAAAGACATATGTTTGAAAACAAATGAAGCTATGTATAAGCGAATTAAAGATGGAGGAATTAAATCTAAAACTGCTTTGAAGTTAATATAGACAGTAGTACTGTACAATTAATTTTAAACAAAATACTTAAAATTAGTGGCTACATCAACACATTTTTCAGAACTATAGAATCTTGACCTAATATGGATGGAATGTACACAAAATCTGGATTATTATAACCCAAGAAGTTCACGTTTTGTGTTATCGAAAATTTAAAGACCATAAAATGTGAAACAGACTAACTATAAACCTAACCTCTCCTATAGGCATAAATAAGCCATCCTAGGCCTAACATATACAATTTTTAGATCTAATCTCATACATATATGTACTGTACTGCGCCTAGGAAGGGTCAGGAGAGGTTAAATGAACAAATCCACACTGACAGAGCCCAGGTGCATGGGAGAATTGTGTAAAACCCCGATTGGGCTTCGGAGACGCTTCGGGATCCTAGTGAAGACAGTAGCACTCCAGGTTGCAATTCTTTTGACCATGTATTGGTACAGTTGACTAAGGCGCATCTGGGCACATCCCGTGCGTAGGTTCGAACCCTCATCAAGGCCCTTGTCGATTTGTTCATTTGATATATCACGCTATTGTGATTTATGTGTGTGTGTGTGTGTGTGTGTGTGTGTGTGTTAGGGAGGTTACGTTCTTTCTCGGTCCTCTAAATAAGTAACAGTACAAAACGTGAATTTTTGGTGTGCAAGAGTCCATATTTTGTACCACCATCCATTGTAACTATATGTGCTGTTATTTCAGGTAATGGCAATAATGTGGTCATAATGAATTATGTAGATGGGGACTTGTATTACCACTGCTACCTTATTCAATCTTGTGTTGTTGATATCCTCAAAATGCATCCGGAGTCTGCCAGTGCAGACTGCTTATCACATGCCTCTGTATGACTAACCATCCTGTGTGATGGGGATTTTTTAGCATCACCTAGTTAGCTTTTTTGACACACTGTACTCCACTTCATATAGTCTAGGGTAGCTGCACTAATGCAGATGTACCTCATATCTTAATAAAAAAAAAATGAATATTTCTAGGGGGACTTATCCTTGGTCTATGGATTTTCTGAGTAGAAGTTTCAGTGATAGATACAGGTAATCGGCCAGTTGCTTTACGTCAAATTAAAAACAGTAGTGAGAACCTTACCAAGAGAGAGGAAGTGGAGTAGACAACAAGGCCACCAGTGCGTAGAGAATCTATTGCCCTGAGGATAAGGTTCTTCTGAAGCCTAACACACAGCTTGATGTGTGTATCATCGCTAGGCTGGCAGTCTTTCCTCTCGTACTTCCTGATGCACCCCGACCCAGAGCAGGGAGCATCCACTAGCACATGACTGAAGGAATTGTTCATGCTCTGAAATGTTGTAATGTTAGAGTACATATTCACACATCAGCTTGGTATTATAAAACCATGCCACCTCAAAGTCAGTTTGCCACACAAACACACATGAAACTAATTACTATGTGGCTACAAAAACACAGTAATATACATAACACACCACTACACAAACACTAGAGTCCCTGAAATTTCCTCCAACCACCAAAGTCAGGATAATACACATTCAAAAATAATCAAAAATAAATAATATAAAATAATACGCTCTAGAGTATAAAACCACTTAAACATAAATCCAAACATACATCTATCGGTTCTTCTCTCTTTCTACCACCTATCATTCTCACGTAATTATTATGCGAATGTAAAAAATAATTATACCAAATAAATACCAAACAGTATTAAATTGTTGAACGTTCGGCCTTATAGGGAGGCATTGTGTTAGACATTACCTTGTGTTATACTCAGCAAGCACATTTAAGTGAGTACACATAAAATATCACCTGAGGGAAGTTTGGAAGGTTGAAATGCGTGACAATGGAACAAGACACACCGCAGCGATTAAGGTTTCTATGTACAACCTCTCCGTTTTCCTCCACCAAGACGTTGCTTACCAATATCCCACAGTTCTTGAGCATCATTGCTGTAATATAGTCAGCATTTGTCAATACATCTACGAAGACGGGTCAAGCAGGAAACAAACATGTTTGGGCAATAAACTAGCACAAGGAGGGAATACGAGTACTGACATTAGACAAACCTATGAGAATGGAGTTGTGTCCTAAAGCAGCACAAAGGTCCATCACCAAGTTGCCCTTCCCTGGCGCCAGAGCCATGGCTGGAAGCATTCCTGACGGGCCCTAGAAACAACACACAACTTAAATGAACAAATCCACAAGGGCCGTGACGAGGATTCGAACCTGCGTCCGGGAGCATCCCAGACACTGCCTTAATCGACTGAGCTACGACAGGGTAAAAAGGGTTGAAACCGAAGTTCTACTGAACTTACTGGATCTCGTAGCCTCTCCGAGGCACAGAACTGGGATGCTCCCGGACGCAGGTTCGAATCCTCGTCATGGCCCTTGTGGATTTGTTCATTTGATGCATCACGTTAGTGTGATCTCTGTGTGTGAACACACAACTTTCAATGTGTGCTGTGGAATGTGGTAGCCATCATTGCATACATCTCGGCTAAAATGAATTCGAAAACCCTCTCGACATGAAAAAGAAAATCTGACTGCTAAGATGATTATATAACTTTGTATTATATATAACTGACTCAAATAAAATGTGGCCTAACTAAAGAATGCGGAGAAACTAACCTGACAGCCATAGAACATGACTTGACGCTTCAGTCCAGGATGAGAGCAGGATGCTAGCTCTGGTCCTGCCGGCTGCCGACCTCCGGTAAACTCAGGGATCATGGTATCCCCGTGAAACTTCATGAAAAGTAAAAAATCGCTCAAGCGCTTGGCTTCTAGTAAGCGAGACCAGGTCCTCGATATTACCTGATGCACCGGATTCGCGTTTCTCTTTATCTTACTACTGAAGACTTTACCTCTGTTAAATGTTATCTTGTTCTTTTGTGTGAACTTCGTGTATACAGGAGCCCTCTCTGTCTGGGTATGAGGCTCCTTTGATTGGGTATCACTCTCCATTGATTGGATATAGCACTCCTTTGACTGGATATGAGATTCGTTGGGCTGGGTATGTGACTCATTTGACTGGGTATAAGGCTGATTTGCCTGGTTGAGAAGGTCGTGTGCCTTGTGATCTCTTTCTGTTGTGTTCCCTGGGACATTTAGTCCAGTAATTACTGCCGGATCTTCTGCAAGCTTCAGCCATGCGGGTAACTGATCTGTTGCCAGCTTGGTCCAAGTTTCGAACTGAAAGAGAGTTGCAACTAATTTTTTTTTATTAAAATAACTACGAAGTAAATACGGTTAAACTTTTGTTATCCAAAATTTATACTATACATTTATGAGTACATTCAAGTACATACCATGAAATGTGATCTGTAATTTGTATTTTGACGAGACAAGATGTGTCCCGCTCTGCTATACTGTCCAGAATCAACAGTGTTCAAAAAGTTTTCAACACAGTGTTCAAAAGCATAATGTTATATAAGAAAAAGAAATTGAATACGGCTTATTGCAATTGAAAATTTAAGTAAATTTTTTAAATTATAAATTAAGTAAACAATGGAACGAAAAAAAAGGCTTGTATACCAGAGGAAAAAGTTAGGAAATTAACATAAAAATCAAACTCAGTGGAAAGTTTTATGTATAAGTTGAATAAATACGTGAGTGGGAATGATTTTTTGTTATCTTTATTTAAGAAAATACAATATAAATTACATATACATAAGTTTTACAAGGCAATTATACATTACAATTCTTAGTGAACAAGTGTTTCAGTAGTACAGAACAAGATCTTTAAAAAAAAACCTGAATAGATAGAAACAGGAGTTGCCTTACACGCTACAAATTTCTTGACCTTTCTTTTCTAAAGCTTGAGCTATTAGTTTTGAGGTGACCGTGGGTGAAAGTTACCTACCTGTGCCAAGAAGTAACCCGAGCGGAGTTCACTGGTGGCTTCCACGTTGAAACCGATTGGGATTTGGTTGACCATAAGAGTCTTATTGGACCACGATGCAGAATCCAGTTGAACCTCATAATTACTCAAGAGGATTTCTTTAAGATCCTTCCGGGCAATCTGTCGAACAAAACTGCATTAAATCCTAAGCGGAAACAGATGTTTTAAAGACTCAAATAGTACCAAAGTATATAACAAACGAACGAAAGTACAGAAATGACTTCCGTGGAAGTAGCCTGGCCTAAGTCTAAGCTACTTCTGTGTGAGTAGTCTAGCCTAAGTCTAAGCTACTTCCGTGTGAGTAGCCTAGCCTAAGTCTAAGCTACTTCCGTGGGAGTAGCCTAGCCTAAGTCTAAGCTACTTCCGTGGAAGAAGTCTAACCTAAATCTAAGCTACTTCCGTGGGAGTAGCTTAGCCTAAGTCTAAGCTACTTCCGTGGGAGTAGCCTAGCTTAAGTCTAAGCTACTTTCGTGGGAGTAGCCTAGCTTAAGTCTAAGCTACTTCCGTGGGAGTAGCCTAGGCGGTGTGCAGACAACATACTACAAGACATCAGGTAGTAAACACTTGACCTTACCTTAAGGGTGTTGGTCAGCAGAGTCAGCTGTCGTGGTGCTTCAAGACCTTCCAAAATGGTATAAATGTCATTTTCGGGCAGAGAGTGAAGTGAGAGGAGGACGTAAGGAGAGAGATTATAATCTGCTGATAAACTGGCTATCTCCTCTCCCAGGATCATCTCACTGGAAGGATAAATACGATAGCAAAGGAAAACTTTTTGAACACACACACACACTCAATAAAAGACCAACCCGTCCACCCCAACACACACACACACACACATACAAGCATGCATATTTCATTCACGTAAGGACTAGGAGACTCGAACCGCCGACCCCACGGTGTGCAACCCGTCCTCAAACCAAGACCATTCCATCCAGCAGTCGATCCCAAAAGACGCATTCATCAATTTTAACATTCAAAACAGGAATTTTCTCATATAACTTAATATTATTTATATTAGCATATTGTGCACATTTAGGCACTGGTTAGGTGTTTAGGTTTTGTTGGCGATTATTTGTATTTGTAGTACGTGGGTGAAGCATTTACGGCGTTGTGGTTCGAACAAAAGTCGTCAGCGAAGCACTTCTCCGAGAAGTATTCGAACGTCATCAGTTGTGAGTCGTGTGTGAACAGTTTCTCATTCATCTTGAGGTTATCTTGAGATGATTTCGGGGCTTTAGTGTCCCCGCGGCCCGGTCCTCGACCAGGCCTCCACCCCCAGGAAGCAGCCCGTGACAGCTGACTAACTCCCAGGTACCTATTTACTGCTAGGTAACAGGGGCATTCAGGGTGAAAGAAACTTTGCCCATTTGTTTCTGCCTCGTGCGGGAATCGAACCCGCGCCACAGAATTACGAGTCCTGCGCGCTATCCACCAGGCTACGAGGCCCCTTAATAACCAGGGGGTTTAGCGGGTGCATGGAATGGACTTTGGCCTTTGCTAGAGGACAGGCTGCGACGTGAGGCGGAAGCTCTTCCATTCGGTGGTTCTAGTCTCCACTAGACTACTCCCAGAACTGAGAGGTATGAGCTTCGAGGAAAGCTAAATCTTCCGTCCCTGGAAAACAGAAGAGAAAGGGGAAACCTGATCACCGCCTACAAAATTCTCAGAAGAATTGACAGGGTGGACAAAGACAAACTATTTAGCATGGGTGGAACACGAACAAGGGGACAGGTGGAAACAGTACCCAAATGAGCCACACAGACATTATAATTTTTTGTTCAGTGTCACAGTAGTTAACAGATGGAATGCATTAGGCAGTGATGTGGTGGAGGCTGACTCCATACACGGGCTCAAATGTAGATTTGATGAGTACAATAGGCTCTAGAAGCTATACATGAGTTGATTGACAGCTGAGGGGCGGGACCAAAGATCCAAAGCTCAACCCCAGCAAGCAGAACTCGGTGAGTACAACTAGGTGAGTAAATACATACATATGTAGAACATGTATGTAGTGTGTGTGGAAAAAAAAAAGTTGATTGATTGACAGTTTAAAGGCTGGCCGAAAGAGCCAGAGCTCGACCCCCCCCCCCCTTCACAAGCACAACTAGATGAATACATTCATACATATATATATACATACAGACATACACTACGGAGTTCCTGTGCGAGTTTCCGTAGTGTAGTGGTTATCACGTGCGCCTCACACGCGCAAGGTCCCCGGTTCGATCCCGGGCGGAAACAATGTAGCATTTTAATTAAGTATTACGAACTATCTGTTTGGTAATTCAAAGAAAATATTAAACAGTATTTTGACAGTTGAGAGGCGAGATCAAAGAGCCAGAGTTCAACCCCCGAAAGTACAGCTAGGTGAGTATATACATACATAGTGGTAGTAGGCATCCATCAATCTCACGAGACTATGGAGTTGCGCTCTGGTTATCGGTCTGGAGTGGCTTCTCCAGGGCGCAAAGCCAAGGTAGGTTGATTCGGGGAAAAAGCTGTTACCCATGCAGCAGCCCCCCCCCCACCCCCCTCTCCACGGCGCCGAAAATATCAAATGGAAAGGCAAACACCAATACGATTGGTTCCAGCACCATCGCAGGAACTGTCAGAACGATGTTGAAGGCAACATACATACATGAGTACATACATATTGCAAGAGTAAAAGGGACGGTACTCCATTGGATAAGGGAGTATAGTACCTATATTGAGATTATCTTGAGATGATTTCGGGGCTTAGCGTCCCCTCGACCAGGCCTCCTTTTATAGAGAACTCTGTACTCTAAATATTTAAAACTATGAATTGTAATGTCAATCCTGACCTTAAATGCTTCCTAGAAGGTTTTAACAGAATCCATGAGCACCACACCAGAAACCTATTTGATATTCCAAAATTGCGCCTTAACCAAACTAGAAATTCTCTACAAATTAAATAATAATAATAATATTTTATTTAGGAAAAGTACATACGTAGATGCAGAGTTACAAACATTCTGATTGATTTATAGACAGAGCTAGTACATACAGTACAAAGGTCCCAGAATGTGGAATTACCTTCCCAATCATGTCAAAGGCTGTACCTCTCTCAACCAGTTTAAGAGAAAAACTAAATACTACCTAATAAACTCCATGTAACCTACCTTACCCCCTAAATGTCAACCTATGTCTTGCTATTCAAACAATATTGTTTGTTGACCATGTTGTGTCATTGCTGAGATCTGCCATGTTCCCCCTCCCCCTTTTTTTCCATCTTCAACACAATTTATGCTTTAATCTCAATTAATATTAAGCTTTAGTCTAAGTGTTCTCTTTTTTCCCCTTCACCTTGCCCGAAACGCTGTGCGTATTAGTGGCTCTAGGTAATATGTGTACTAGCTCTATCTAGAAATCCAACATTATGTTTATAACTCTGCATTTATGTACGCACTTTTACCTTAATAAACATTTTGAATTTTGAATTTTGTAATACACCCCCAGGAAGCAGCCCGTAGCCGCTGTCTAACTCCCTGGTACCTATTTACTGCTTGGTAACAGGGACATCAGGGTGAAAGAAACCATTTATTTCCGCCTCCACCCGGATCAAACCCGGAACCTTAGGACTACGAACCCGAAGCGCTGTCCACTCAGCTGTCAGGCCCCAACAACCTACAGAACTGTGAGGGGTGAGGTCACTGTGAGGGGTGAGGTCTCAGAGTTGTGAGGCGTCACCAGTGGAGTCCCATAGGGATCAGTCCTTGGACCTATACTGTTTCTGATATATGTAAATGATCTTCCAGAAGGAATAGACTCGTTCCTCTCAATGTTTGCTGACGATGCAAAAATTATTAGGAGAATTAAGACAGAGGAAGATAGTTTGAGGCTACAAGATGACCTAGACAAACTGAAGGAATGGTCCAACAAATGGAAATTAAGTTCAACCCAAGTAAATGTAAGGTAATGAAACTAGGCGGAAGAAATAGGAGGCCAGACACAGGATACCGATTGGGAGATGAAGTCCTTCATAAAACGAGCAGAGAAAGAGAGAATTAATATCACGACAAACTACAGTGTCTCCTGAAGCCCACATCAATTAACATCAGCGGCGTATGCAAGGCTGGCTAACATCAGAACTGCCTTCAGAAACCTGTGTAAAGAATCCTTCAGAACCTTGTATACCACATATGTAAGACCAATCCTGGAGTATGCGACCCCAGCATGGAGCCTGTACCGTGTTAAGTACAAGACGAAGGTGGAAAAATTCAGAGGTATGCCATTAGGCTAGTCCCAGAACTAAGAGGCATGAGTTACAAGGAAAGGCTGCGCGAACTGCACTTCACGTAGTTGGAAGACAGGAGAGTTCGGGAAAATATAATCACCACATACAATATTCTCAAGGGAATTGACAGAGTAGGGTGACAGGACAGGAGGATGTCCAGTTACCGTTGATTTAGGTTTACTATTTGTTCATGATAGTCGAGCAGAGTGGCGCAGTGGAAGCGTGCTGGGCCCATAACCCAGAGGTCCGTAGATCGAAACTACGCTCTGCTAGCTACAATTTTACATATTGTGTTTACATATTTTACATACCTTTTGCATACAATAGACCTCGAGAAGCTCAGGAATCTGTACACCAGTAGATTGACGGTTGAGAGGCGGGACCAAAGATCCGAAGCTCAACCCCCGCAAACACAACTAGGTGAGTACATGTATATATGTATGTTTTACTATTTATTTTAGTTTACTATTTACTAATAATGGTCGAGCAGAGTGGCGCAGTGGAAGCGTGCTGGGCCCATAACCCAGAGGTCCGTAGATCGAAACTACGCTCTGCTAACTGCAATTTTTACATATTGTTTTTACATATTATAGGTGGAACCAAAGAGCTAAAGCTCAACCCCCCCAAGCACAACTAGGTGAGTATGTGTGTGTAATTACCTAAGTGTAATTACCTAAGTGTAGTTACAGGATGAGAGCTACGCTCGTGGTGTCCCGTCTTCCCAGCACTCTTTGTCATATAACGCTTTGAAACTACTGACGGTCTTGGCCTCCACCACCTTCTCACTTAACTTGTTCCAACCGTCTACCACTCTATTTGCGAAGGTGAATTTTCTTATATTTCTTCGGCATCTGTGTTTAGCTAGTTTAAATCTATGACCTCTTGTTCTTGAAGTGCCAGGTCTCAGGAAGTCTTCCCTGTCGATTTTATCAATTCCTGTTACTATTTTGTACGTAGTGATCATATCACCTCTTTTTCTTCTGTCTTCTAGTTTTGGCATATTTAATGCTTCTAACCTCTCCTCGTAGCTCTTGCCCTTCAGTTCTGGGAGCCACTTAGTAGCATGTCTTTGCACCTTTTCCAGTTTGTTGATGTGCTTCTTAAGATATGGGCACCACACAACAGCTGCATATTCTAGCTTTGGCCTAACAAAAGTCATGAACAATTTCTTTAGTATATCGCCATCCATGTATTTAAATGCAATTCTGAAGTTAGAAAGCATAGCATAGGCTCCTTGCACAATATTCTTTATGTGGTCCTCAGGTGATAGTTTTCTATCTAGAACCACTCCTAGATCTCTTTCTTTATCAGAATTCTTTAAAGATTTCTCACATAATATATAGGTTGTGTGGGGTCTATGTTCTCCTATTCCACATTCCATAACATGACATTTATTTACATTAAATTCCATTTGCCAAGTGGTGCTCCATATACTTATTTTGTCCAGGTCTTCTTGAAGGGCATGACAGTCATCTAAATTTC